TGGGGAGTGAATCACCACCACTTAGTATTCGGTCCCTGTTTTCTTGAAGTCTCATATTTTTTTGCTTTCCCCAGACGATCCTAAATATATATTACATGCTACATTTCCATTATGTTAGTGGGTTTCAGTAAACATTACAAGTTAACGAGCAACCTCGTGCCCTTGTTCACGTGATCGTCATTTACTTCTATGCTTCTGCGTACGAGATTGGCAGCTGGTCAACTTCAGAGAAGGTCGTGAAGGGTAAAATGGGAGCTGGAATTCATATTTTCACTGGAGAATGGAATTTGGAACAGCGACAGGGAAAATGCATGATGGACTTTTTAGCGCCCTGATGGGATCGAACCTTCCACCTACCTACCCCCCCCCCCCCCCCCCCCCCCCCCCCCCACATAGTATTACACATCCATTCACGATCCTCACCAGATGTTGACACTTATACGAGCTAGCCTATGTGTCACCGAATACATGATGTCTACACAATGAAAAGTAATGTTATTTTTTATATATACTTGGATAATTGTCGGCTGATCACAATGCATTTGCGCCACGAAACGAGTACCTGCAAAATTCACCTCATTGACGACAATTCTGTATTTATGAGAGAACGCATTCGTAAGGATCACTCGTCTCTTCATTGTTCTGAACATCTACTTCGACTTTTTCATTAAAACTCGCTCCTTCGTCGATATTTTCCTGTTGTTCCGTGTTTCGACTTGTCATTTGATTCTCAGCTAACCGTGTGGCAACTGTACTGATTGCTTCGGATAAGGCTTGCCATTGAGATTTGAAGAGACCAAAGAAAGCGCTGTATCCTTGACTGTAATCAAAATATGAGGTATTATAAATAGAGATGGAAAAATAGTCGTCAGGAAATTTTTTACGGTGAAGATTGCAAACTTGAAAATTTGCAGAAAAACCTAAAAAAGCACATCTGTCTCACAATGAGTCTGACAGGTATTTTATTCCTTCATTAAGTACAAAACCATGTTCAGCCGACAGTGTTTATGTGGACTATGGCCATAGAACACGGACTATGAACTTTTACCGCCGGCTACTTTTCGTCTGGTTACAGGAAAAAAATTATATACAAAGGTACAAGCGCACCAACACGATGTTTGATATGTTCCAATTGGAATTCAAGCAAAGCATCACTTATTTTGGAAGATAAAAAGGATCAATAATACATAGAACCAAACATAGCTTGCTTTCTTAAGTTGCTGTCGAAAAAGCGATAATATAAACATTCTTTGTTTTCTCGTCGCCATCTTGAATTTCGTAGCAAATAGTCAGCGGCTCTGAATCTTCCTGGAAGATAACTCTGATTGACTCTGACAGTGACTGTATAATGTGGGAATCCGAACTTGACAGTGAGTCAGAGAACGAGTCAGATTCAGAGCCACTTTGGTAAATGTTTTTGGCAAGTGACTAAATTCTTTGACAGTGAATTAATTATGATGAAGTGATGAAGTGAACTCATTACGTACATAAGTATAACATCATTTGATTAATGATTTCGGACTCATAATTAAATTAAATTAATACTAATAGTGTACATTGTCATTCCGTTCATGCAGCTGTAAAAACTAAATTACTAGTCAGGCTCAGCACATTAAAGTACATTGTCACTTACAAGTATAAATGCAAATGACATCTAAATCTAACATGTTAACAGTTGTACTTTGTCTTTTTACGTATTCTATATTATTTGATTGTTAATTTGCGGCGAAAATTTTTTAAATTTCCATGCGAGGGCACGCCCCCCTCCCCGCCCGATTCAGTAAACTATCAGTCACAGCCGGCTACTTTTTTGGTACAACCGCTTACTTCAAATCATTCTGAAACCCCTGTTACATGATATCCATATGTAAATTTGTTAAATGTTAATCGTAATCCCACGAAGTGCATGGGGTTCACTTCCTAAGATCAAAAACACTGAGCTGAAACTCTTACCATTCGTGTTGTGCCCAGTTTTCCAAATTTTTAATGCCATCTCGGAGTCGAATGAAGTTCTCTAAAGCAAGCTCATCCATGCCCAGCAGTAAAATATCCTCAATAACTTGATTCACTAATGGTGCATCTCGTAACGCCAATGACAATAATAAAGACCAGTCGAAACAATGTGATTCCGACATAGCTTGCAAAAGAAACCTGCGTAAAAAATAGTGGAATTTACACTACGAAAACTATCCCAGGCGAGTATTTTGAAGTTGATGCGCAACCCGGGTAAACCCTATTCTAGAACAGGATTCAAAAACGCACTGATCGAACCTGGGTTAGGTTTCTTTCCAATTCAATTTTCGGGATGATCCACGGGAGGTAGCATCCCATAACACATCCAAAATCTCGCATGTGTGTAAATAATTAAATCCAAAAATATCATCCCTCAGGGAGATAATATCATGGGGCAAGGCGACATCAGTTTTATCGCTTGAGGGGCAATATCATAAATGTCACGATCGTCCTGAAAGCGATAAAACTGATAACGCGTCGTCCCGATTATGATAACCTGTTTATTATATACTTGTGCCTCTATCAGGGTCAGAAGTTATTAGAATAATCATTGCCCCAATGCAACATTAGCGACAGAAAACGATATCAGTGACAGAAAACGATATCAGTGACAGAAAACGATATCAGTGACATTGTCGCCCTGATAAAGGCATCCACAAGTACGACTCATTTGTAGACTTGTAGCAATGCTGTACTGCGTGCTTTGCCAAGGAGGCAACCGGTCCATGTGATAAACTAAATAATAATATAGCATTTGTAAATTCTTAACGCTGATTGGCTAAGAGCCGTGTTGACATAACTCAATGTCAACACGAAAAATTTCTTTCTTTACATTTCTTTGTGCTATTTTGCTATTTTATAAAAAAATATAAAACATATTTTCCGTATATTAACACGGAAAATGTTTTATATTTGTTAAATATATAATCCCTCAAATATCATACTTCAGGAATAATATTCCTCTGGGAAATAAAATATCGTCCCTCAGGGAGATACTTTACTCCTGCATGCTAGCCTACAGTATATTATCTTGTTTTTGCAATATTGGTATTTTCTAAATTTTTAATCTTATTTATATTTTAGACAGGGCCCGGATAAATATCATTTCGACGGGAAAATAATCTGTATAATTGCGTAAATATGGCCTACAGTGAATTCTTATTTCTTCTATCAAGTGTGTCAACATATCGAATCAACTTCCGAAATGTTAGCTATTCTATAAATTGAGTAAGTCGTTTCATGTGAAATAACTAACCTAATTTCTTTATCCGCTTGCCTAGATCCTGGAACTTGACCAACAAAATCATCCAAGTCCTTGATGTTGGTATCATAACTCCACGTGCTGTCTTCTAAACCTTCGGGATCGTCGTCCAGTGAAAATGAAACGGAACTTGCTTCGGATTGCTCAACTTGGACAACTTTCAGCTCAACTTCTGAACGAGCTGCAAATACAACAAAAAGGAACATGTTTTGCGTGTTTATGCTTCGTGACTCTCTCGCGAAAGCAGTTCAGGGAGCGAACATGCTGTTTTAATAAGGAAAACTAAAAGTAAAGTCTACTAGGACGTTTTACGTGAATAAATGCGTTAATAGAAAGTTTTCAGGTCAGCGCTGTTAAAAAGCTTTTTTTGTAAAAGCCCGTTTTCAAGAATATACATATTCATTTTGAAGAATTGACCATGCTCTTCGCATGCATGAAAACTGGGCCTGGCCTTAAAGTTTGGCTTCAAATTTATTAACTGCCACAGAATTCAAGCGCATTAAGAAGGATAACTCCAGACCACAACTATAGTTGTGGTCTTCAGACCACAACTATAAGCCTAAGATCTTATTCACAGCACACACCAACTATCTCTCGTACTGAAAGTCATAAACAAGCATTTATACCCAGAGCAATCTCATTGCTCTCTAATCCTAATTTTAAATTGCGTTCTATAGTGTAATTTAGCTCTAACTATAATAACATTGTAAATATATAGTTTGTATCAAATTAAGCCTCACTACCAGAACTCAGGTGATGGCGGGCTTCATGGACTATGCACTTCGATATTTTTATATCTGGTGAATACCTGTTTGTATGTCAGCAGTATCTAGCATCACATTGCTCATTGCCTCGTGATTCTCCCAACTCAGTCGGTTACCAGAGGCAGAGAGAAAAGTCGCTCGAAGTGTCGAAGACGAAGGCTCTGTAATATAAAATGAAATAAAAGAAAAGGTAAACAAATAGTAAAACGTACATCTGTGCCAAAGCTAAACAAACAGTAAACTTATAGCCAGCGTTTCAAACGTACCTGAATTTATTGTGCTTAAGGTTGTCCGGGTAGGGAATGGCCAATCAAACTGACGATGAACGCTAAGAAATGCCTCGATGAAATCATTAATTATCGCTGCTCGATCTCTATATTGAAGAAATATAATGACACATTACCAATACAGTACAGTATGTTCCGATATACCTGTATATAGCTTATACAGTGAACATTACACTAGTGGTAGTGGTCGAATAGACCTTATGCATAATGACGTCACAAGGCTTGATGCCCGCGAGGAATGCTGGTTTTAGTAGTCATCGCTCGGGAAAATTTCGATAGTGGCCATTTTGAATTGTTTAATTTTCCCGGGCGATGACTACCAAGACTAGCATTCCTCGCGGGCATCAAGCCTTGTGACGTCATCATGCATAAGGTCTATTCAGAACTGTTCACATTTAAGAAGCAAAAAAAATTAAACTACTTCACTCAACTGTATACTCACTGACTGACTTCTATAGACTGGATGACCAGGCCTGCCGAGAAGGGGAGGGGGGAGGGAGGGGGTAATTTTGCCCCGAGCCCCCAGCTCAAAAGGGCCCGCAAAGCGACGAAGGCCCTTAAAATATCTTGATACAAGATTTCTAAACTGATTTTTCAGGAAGTTGAATCCTTATCAATCCGAAGCTTTCTTATCCTAAAGTAAACGTTTTTTTATAACTTATTCTCCAAGAACTCGTGAAAAACTTTTGAAAGTATAGGTTTGTTTTGTTTGGTCCATAGATATCTTATATACACTAGATAACGCATCTCTTTTAGTAAAATTGAAGCCAAGAATATTCCAGCGGTTACCCCCATTTGAATAGATGGCGGCTATGTTGGTATTCCCCACTCGCTAATAAACGCTTAAAAAACAACAATAACTTTCATTATTTGAATAGTTTAAAAATGTATTTGGAATAAGTTTAACTTAATGTTTAAGTTCCCTGTTTAAAAAATAGAAAACATACGAATCTTCTCATTTCATGGGAATATCCTGAGTTTGCAATCACGGCTTCAATTTGTGAATTGCAGAATAATTAGATGCACTATCTAGTCTATATAAGATATCTATGGTTTGGTCCCTTGAGCATAAACAAAATATTTCCCTTTATACGCTTTGCGTTAGTGGTTACTTAACAACACACGGTAACAACTAGACTGCGACATGGAAGAACACGCGGTATATAATACCTCAGTATAATATTTTATTACCCTACCTTTCCTTTCGAAGCCATTCTCGAAGGTTAAAATCAAGATAAGCAGAAAATCGACCAAGATCTTTTAGTCTGTTGCTTGCTAACAATTTTCTGGCATGACGGTTCAGGATCGTATCCAAGAAAAATCCTTCTGGCGCATCTTCTCTTGAATACCTAACCAAGTATATAATATAAAAAATAAAATTATAAACGATGGCGGTTTATGACCAGGTTAAATAACCAGGAGAATTAACCAGGAACATCAAGTTAACCCAAATTGTGTTATTTCTAGGTTAATAATGTAGTAAGTAAGTGGGGTGTGCTAATCATCCTTACTTGCATCTGAGAGCTAAGCTGAATTACGAAGGACGCAGCTCAACCTGATCGAGTCGAAGTCTTACTAAGGACGCCTCTGGCAGCCACCTTATGACTCATGTCTGATCATGGAGCACAGCTACGGTGGAAGGGTCAGTTAGGGGGATAATCCCAACCCACCCTGTCAACTTTCCCTGTGGGAGGAAACCAGAGTACCCGGAGAACCCACGACTTAATTTCGGGAGAGCGTTGACTCACTCTTTTCACATAAGTGTCATAAGTCCGTAGCGAGAATCGAATCCACGATTATACGATCTCAGAGGTGAAAGACGCTTGCTCTGACGCCACGGCCCACCGAAGCCCCTGAATACATTAAAATACTACCCGACTGTGATTGGTTGATTTCAGTGCAGTTAATATCAAACATCAGTACAAAAATCTGTAACAGTGCAAAAATCTGTAACAAGCTTGATAAAACAAGCGCTCGCGAGTTTTTCAAAGACTTGAAATAGCACTCGTCCTCCGGACTCGTGTTATTTTGAGGTCTTTGAAAAACTCATTCGTGCATGTTTTATCCAAGTTGCACTCGAAACCATCCTATTACTAATCAAAGTGTGTAAAACTGTAATTTATTTGCTTGTAGAATACCTTTACCAAATTTGCTTATTTTGACCACATGCATGACCTATATTTCTATACCTGCTATGATGGAGAGGCAAGCTTCCTTTGATCCTGATCAAAATACGATCTACTCGACCCGTGTAATACTCTCATGCAGGCATGCATGTATGTCAACTCGACTAATAGTAATTCTCATGAAGTATAGTATCACTGTACCTGAAAACAATATGCTGGGATCCCTCCGGACCTTCAATATGTTCTTGCGAATCTGATTTCCTTCCTGATACAGAGCTTTTCCCCATCAATGATCGTTCCTCGGACATATGCCGGCCTCGTCCTGGTGATTTCTCATACGGTCTCATTTTATCTGAAGAACTGATGCGTGTTAATGGCGGTCTGGGACTTATCCTACTCCCAGATTGAGAATGTGATTGTATCCCCTGGGGGAGGGGGGTGAGGTCATCATCTTCATCATCCACGAGAGAAGGCAGAGCAGTTGACATGACAGGCGTCTTGGTACACGGGCTTTGTGGCGGAGAATCAAAATCACTCACTTTGATTGAGCCAAGAAAACGAACAAGATCTCTGGCAATCTAGAAATATATAGGTTTTATTTAAAGTAATAAACTGGCTTTTATTGGAATACCTGGGGTTGGTTGGTCATAGCTGGATTAGTGCTAACCCTGGGTTAAAATTTAATCTGCTGTTTTAGTTTCTGTATTTTTGCACATCTGTCTATTTCCAAACTTCAGAAAAGAAAACTCTCATTGGTCCATACAAGATTTCTGAAGAAATATTTCCAAGTTTATAACCAAGCTGTTGGGAAGTTTGCTTTGAATTCTAGGTTAACCTAGGATTAAGCCAACCGGTGCTTGAACAACCAGCCCCTGGATAAAGTTAAAGCAATTCTATCACATGTAGTTAAAACGAAATACATTATTATCAACATGTTCAATGCAAGAATCAAGCCCGGAGGTAAAATGCACATATATGCAGTATATGGCACCACTGCGACCACATGCTTGAGTTCAAAAGCCATTGCAAGTCCTCCAACAATGTCTCAAGCTTATTTTACTTTTTGAAGGAATTTAAAGTACAACAGCATAGTTAGTCTTGAAACATCTAAAATCACTGTTTTACCTCATATTTATCACTTTGCAAAGTAGCCTCAAGAAGAATCGTTGCTAGCTGGAAAAACAAAAGAATGGACGAGATAGATCTAAACTACACTGGTCATGATGGCCATTGAACATTTCCATTGAATCTCGGGCAAAGTGGCAAAATAACAATAACGAAATGGTACAGTATTACGGCATTTGGTCATTCTATAATGTGGTTATAACCTGTTTGCTGACTTCGGGTGTTTCCAAATTTTGCAAAATGATTAGGTAAGAAGCTGCAGTTTCAAGAAATCCATCATCAAGGCATTTCTATAATAGAACATGCACATAAAGTAAGACCAATTTCCTAGCTTGCAACAGAGACAATTTTTTAGATTATATTCGTGGCATACAGCCTATAGTTTCCACGAAAAAACACAAACTGTATTTTTTAAATGCCTTATCAGGCGTAAGTACAGTACTTTTTGAACGTCACCAAAACCCAACTGTCAATCATGATTGAGCACAGGCATCTAAACAGCACTCCGGCAAACTGGACGACGCGGTCTCAATTCCAGCTCAGGAACGAGAATTAATAAGGATGTAATAAAATAACTGTAATAAATGTTGGTAGGAGGTGAATTGCCGCGTTATAGTTCCTAAAATCTCTCATACAAGAATACGGATGAAGCGAATATATCTTATGCTCTCACCTGAAACAGATTACGTGGATTACCGACGGCTGCAAAAAGATAACTCCACAAGGCTACTTCAGTTTTTCGGGCGCAATGTACCACGGTTTGTAGGTACTCTGGAAATTCCTGAATGAATGCCACAATTCTTGGTAACATGGCATCTAAAAGAATTATAAAGTTTTGCAATGAAATTAATATTAAAGAATTATAAAGTTATGCAATTAATATTACTGGCTAACGTGATATTTCCTTTGTTTTAAATGCCCTACAGCGTGCAATAATATGCTAATATAAAAATATAGATTTATAGGGTCATATTCATTTGTTTGCGCTCACAATTATAATATAATTGAAAAGCTAATGGTTACAGTATATACTGTTGTTCTATTTTTCTCTTATTACAACAGAACAGTGCATGGTAACTAGGCATGCGAGTTATCCGGCGACGTGCAGAAACACGTGTTAGCTTATTAAGTAACGCAATTTTAGTCCTTGCAGTTTCATTGTGCAACCCTGTTATTATAGGATGAAATAAGACTACTATGCATTGACTAGCCATAGAGAAAACAAAAATGCATGTTTTTCAATGAGAGCACAATTTCATCCGTTGTCGTTGAGATTTATTTCATTCTGCTCGTTACATTGTTTTAATTTCTTTTACTGCCTACATTACCTGGTAAAGGCTCAGAAGCGGTCGCTTCCTCTTCAAGTATTTCATGAAGCATCAATTCCAAAACATGAGGAAAATACAGAAGTTCACTGCAGCTGCGAGCAATTCGTAATGCATGAATACCAAGACTAAAGAAAAGCGTTAAAAGTTTGTCAGTCTAAGAAGACCTACAGTAGTACAGTATTTAGTAGAGATTTTTCATATAAAAGGTAATTGCACTAGTATTGGTTGGCATATCTCAAAATCTTGACTATAGTTGTTTTCATTCCAGTGGAATCATATAGAATCTCATATGAAACCATGTAAGATTCAATATGGAATCCATATGAATTAGACGAAACCATATAAGATCCCATATGGAATCTTATAGGATCCCATATGAATCATAAGATCTATATGAATCTTATAGGATCCCATATAAATCATAAGATCTATATGAATCTTATAGGATCGCCTATAGGGTAAAATCGACGGTAGTGAAGACACTGGAACCAAACTATACTATAATTGCTACTTGTATGGTATTGAGTATTCTCCAAGATTTTGCGAACCAAAACACAGCTGTATACTTGTATTATGTACTTTAATTGTTCTCTCGTTAAAGACAACGTGTCCCCGGCGCTACTATGCCCAAGGGAGGTTATAAGGTATAAGGTATAAGGTGATCAGAGATGCAACGTGGAATTTGTTGCAATCAAACGTCCAGTACTCAAACGTCCAGTTTGATTGCAACAGTGCCCTGAAAAGGTCGACATACTGTATGAAATCTATAAGAAAGCTTCGGATTGATAGGGATGCAAGTCAGGTAGTTTCTTATTATTGGCACCACCCACACTGGCGCAGACCATTTATGTAATCAATAGTCTACAGGGAAAATGTTGAATGTGTTGTTCCAGTATATGAACTAACTTGCACAAGCAAGGTCGAAACGTCGAAGCCCATGCTGTATATTTCAGGGAGTTTGAACCAGTCCCTCAAGTATACATGGAAAATGTTCTACCGTATAAACTAATTCTACTAATACAACTAATGAAACAGAATACATTAAAGAACGCACTTTCTTCGCAGCAGTTGACGAAGAAGATGATGAAGATACACTTGTGCCTACAACAAAAAATTAAAGAGACTATAAAGCACATACGTCATTTAAGCATATACGTCATCACCACGTTCTTCCTACGCCCATTCCTACGTCGACTTGTATTAAACAATATTTCAACCAAATCAAGTGGAAACTGTGTAATTCACGCTGTAGGCGTAGATTGGGCAGAACACCAGTTTATAATTGGCGCCTTGTTGGACTGAGAGTTAAAATAGATGGTTTAGGAGCAAGATGTGTTGTCAAGTATTAAGCACTGAAGAGGGGGGCGGGAGAACGACGTATTTTGGCCAGCGTGAAGTGAAACACTTCGCAAAAAATTACGATCCAGTAGCCTGCAAAGTATCACCTTCTGCATATTTGCTCCGTTTGAAAGGGCGAAGAAAGCTTACCGGTCTTTCCAATGCATACAACGGAAACGGTTCTTCAGGAGAAACTAGAAAGTCAGATTCATTTGATGAAAAATCAAAATGTACGGGTTCGGACGCCGCACCAACAACAAGAGCTTCTTCTGATAAAACAACTGAAGAAATAAAAAAACAACAATTTAAAATGATGGTTATACGAAGATCAGGTAGCTTATCCGGTCAAAATAGTATGAAATGTTATTGACATAAACACTAAAACGACATTGTTCAGTGACTGTATACATGCATATATATACAAGTTAGAAATCAAACAAAGTGATCATACCAAGTGGGCATAACGACATTTGGATTGGAAGCATTATTCTTTTGGACAAAAAATTCGGAGGCTTTTCATCATCTCCTGGAAACAATGGAAGCCATACCTAAATGAAAGTATCATTATGTTCGGCAATCATTTATAATGTTGTAATACATCAAATCGCCTAAAATCAATTAAAATACTCATTAAGAGGAGATTTTTTTGTATGTTACGTAACACGCGCTCAAAACTAATGCGTATAATATATCACTCGAGGTTATGACTAAATTCAACATTTTTATTTTTCGATACATTTCTCAATCGGCAAACAAACTTAGAAAGTATGTTTAGTGCTTTATCTGTAAAATAATGCTAAAATGAAGAGATTTTAGATGATACGCCAAAGAGAAAATGATGTCTGAAGTTCAGTAAGGTTTGCTTATATGACTGTAAATATGGCGTCAATTTTAAAGCATCATTGATAATTGTATTTTAATTGACAATTTTTAACTATTATTTTATGTTTCTCAACCGGCAGATGCATTTAAAAAGGTAGCTAACTCTATAAACTAAAGAATAAAGGTAAAACAAAGTAATTTTGAGAGGAACGCCAAAAAGATTTTAGGTTTTGAACACTTTTCATCGCAAATACGTACATTGAAAAAAATTGCCTCTTAATAATTCATAAACCTTGTGGCAAATCATGTCAGCCATAATATGTCACGTGCATTGACTTTATATCTGATAAAACACATGTGCATGGCATTATATAACTGTTCATCCTAATTAGTATTCTTATATTAAGAATACTAATGAGACGGCATCTTTTGTAGTCGTATTTTAGGCTATTCAAAACACTCGATATCTGATAAAACACTCCTCGTGTTTTAAATAGTGTATACCATGCACGTTATAGAATAGTTTCGAGTGGAATTTGGATAAAAAAGTACCAGTGAATTTGAAAACTGACAAAGGGGAAAATTGTAAGCTTTTAAAAACACACAAGTTTAACTTCTTCCCTCTCAATGTAATTAAACGTGGACAAGAGGCGCTGTTAATAAGTTTCCTGGCAAAACAATCATCAGGCAACAAAACACTACACTATTCTTACTACATTGTTCTTACTTTCATTCCAGAAACACCACAGTTTAACCATAATGCTTCAACCAAATGTTGTTTGTCTGTTGAGGATGTTTTTAGTGACGACCATATTCCTTCAACACACGAAGCAAGAATGACTGGCGCTGAAAACTGCATCTAAAAACAAAGACAAAGACAATTTATAGTAACATTCTCCTTCGTGGAATCTCACGTTTATTTCACATTCGTACTCTCCTCTTGTCCAGTAAGAACTGTATAATAATATAATAGGGTTAAATATAAATGTAAAAAGATCTCGTAGAGTATACTAAAAATATATATGTAAAAAGATCTCGTTTTGCAGATTGCAATTTTGAATGCCTTCTTAAAATCACTTATTCATTTTGAGTATGCCATTTGAAACGCTCGCGCGGGATAAACTATGCATTGAAGGATGTTTTCAAGTGATGTGCATTTTATACATTTCTATAGGTAAAGAAAAGTTTACAAATGTACCTAAATCTTGAACAGCACTAAATGTTGTAATTTTGTCATGTAGTTATTCCATTAATAATAATTAAACGGATTTAAACTTTTCTTTGGTTAGTATGTATAGCAGCCACTTTAAATTGGCCCGAAAAAGTTCAACATTCTTGGAATTGCAGTTTCGCCCAAAGTAATCTTATACCTTCTTTCGTTTCTCCTTTTCATGAAGTCTCTGAAGCATTAACAATTTTCCACCAATATTTATTAACAAAGATTCAACCCTGCTTATACCAGAGCTGACACAACCTGAATGAAAACATAACACAGTGAAATGCGCATGTATGAAAACATATTACAGTACAATACGCAGAATGTATAACGTCTGCAAGTTATCTGTTCAGTAATAATATGACTATATAATTACGCTTAATTGCCGTTTTTATACTAGAAACGATTCATCTGAACGAACTTAAGCGAGCATTTGTAGTTCGTCTGGTCATGCATCTTCAGTAAAAGGACGGTAGACGAACCATTATGTCCAATACTTCAAGCAACACAACTGAACATGCATAACAAAGGTATCTTATTCGTCGGATAAATTGATTTAGATCAATATTTATACAATACTTTATCAAGTCTAAGAAAAACAAAACAAACATTTACATTTAGAAAAAGATCATCATATTGATGGAAGCTCCAAAAATCAACAATGGTACGAATGGGACTTTTGGAAAAGGATTCATGTAAGACACCTGTCATGCAGTAATTTAGATGAGAAGTACTTAAATGTTGAATGTATTAGTATGCTGTATACTAAAATTTATTAAATGGACGAATGAATGATTGAAGAGAAAGAGAGGTGAAGAGAGATACAGTATAGAAAGTAAGCATGAAAGAAAGAAAAAAAAGGCAGACAGATAGACAAAAAAGGTGAACGGAGGGACGGACGGACGGTATGTCTTGTGGCAAGGACAGTCACACATATAAGGACCACTATGTTTACATACAAGACAAATCGTCCGATTATTCATCCCGCCTTTAAACTAGACGAATAGCCTACTATAGTAGTTGCGTGATGCGTCCAGACGGATGCGTCTCTAGCATGAAAAAAGGAAAATATGATGACTTCATAGGCTTAATATTTCTCTAAAATGACGACATACGGAAGTGTAATTACTGCACCTTGCTCAAAACAAGCCATACTTAAAGTGACTTCAATAACCGACAGTGGATGAGGTACGTGAGGAACCAAAGAAACATCTTGAATGCGAGTTATTTGAAGACGATCTAAACAATGGAAAACAACAAGTCAGGCGTATTCTTGTACTCAAGCACATGTTGCGGTACCCTGCAGGGTGCCAGAGGTTTTTCCACGCATTGGAAAAATTTTGAAAATCCATAGAAGGCCAAAGAATGGAAATTGTATGGACCTTTATTGGAAATAGAATAGATTTTGGTTATCCATAATAATTGTATATTTCCATAGTATGGATATAGTATGGAAATAGTATAGATATACTGTGGATTTAGTGGTGCAATTGCAAATTTCGTAGTATGGATTTCACTTTTTTTCCCCAGCGACGCTCGCAAAAAAAAACCACGAGAAAGGAGCGACGCGGACTGACTCGCGCTTTAAATAGTGCTTTATTTCTGCGAGCTCTATTTTTTGCGAGCGTGGAAAAGCCTCGGTACCCAGGGTAATGTTGCGGTGTTAAACAAATATTCTGTACGTCAGAAGCGAGGTAAGTACAATGATAATATTTTACAAAATGAAAGAGCGAATCCCTAAAGGAAAGTTCGGAAATTATAAGGCAGAAATTGTTGTGACAATGACGTGCAAAAATTCTTTATAAACTATATTACCATACATACTTAGGTAGGTAGGTAGGTAGGTAGGTAAAACTTTATTTTACTACGCTAACCCCTACAGCAAAAGCCGATTTCCAAGGGGGGCGTAGCATTAAATTCAAATTTACATTAAAAATTTAGAAAAATTAAACATACAAATACAGTTACTTACATGCAGTTATTACAATTACATACATAATTAAATAGATAATAGTACATACAGTACATACATACATACATACATAATAGTAAATATTAATAGATTAAATAGTCAAGGTAAATATGGGTTTGAAAACTCTAATTAGTAGCCAGGTGTCATACGTTTTTATTGAATATAGCTAGTGATTCTTTTCCTCTTAATTCATTTGGGAGACTATTCCACAGTTTAGCCCCTCTATAGCTAAGACTTTTTTTAAGATATTCAGTCTTAGGCTTGGGCAAATGGAGTTTAGTGGAAGAGCCCCGCAAATTATAATGCTGGGAGGAAGACGTCTTTTGAAAAATATCAGTAAGTCGTAAGGGCGCTAGATCATGAGTAATTTTATACATCAGACTTGCCACAAACTGGGTTCTGCGTTCGCTCAGAGGCTTCCAGTTTAATTCATTTAGAGCAAGTTCAGATTGACCATGTTCATTTTTACGACCCACGATAGCTCTAGCAGCCCTATTTTGTATTTTCTGGAGACGATCAGAAAGTGTGGTACCAATGGTGTCCCAAACTTCGCAACAATAATCAAGGTGAGGCAAAACAAGTGCATTATAGGCACAAATTAATGTATTACGGTCTACACATGATTTTAACTTTCTGATTGCCCCAATTCCGGATGAGACTTTTTTGGCAATTTTATCAATATGCTTTTCCCATGATAGAAACTCATCAATATAGACTCCAAGTGCCTTTGTTTCTCTTGCCCTTTTAATTGGTATGTCACCAACAAATACCAAATACCTTTGGGGTAGCCAATATATTATTAATATTATGCCGTGATCCAATTAGTATGTACTCAGTTTTAACGAGATTTAAAGATAGTTTATTTACACAGAGCCACTGATTAACGTTTGAAAGATCGTGATTGATGGCAACTTCTACATCATCAAGAGATTTACCAGATACAGTTAACGTTGTATCGTCGGCAAACATTCTTGATGACGAGTGTTCAAGACTTGTAGGCAGATCGTTTATATAAATTAGAAACAGAAGTGGCCCAAGAATTGAACCTTGGGGGATCCCACAAGTAACTAGATTTTTTCTAGACAATACGCCGTTCACACTATGCTCGGGACACTATGCTCGGGAGCTGGCCACTCACAGGCCGTAGATTTCAGGAAAGGCACAGCAACCAACAAGCAGTAGTTAATTTAGTAGTAAATTAACTACTTAATTTACTACTAACTTAACTGTATAGTTAACTTTAACTATCTTTTTATACCACTGGCCCGCCCGCCAGAGCGGCGTCTAAATTCGATGCCTGTGTCGTCAGTAACACCAATAACAGAACAAACCTGATTCGCCCTCAGCTTTGTCCAAGGAATAAAATGTCAGTTTACAGTCAGAACAGTAAACTAGCAAGATATTATCCAAGATGTTGATGAGAAATGGTGAACACGTGAGTCTTATTTCGCTTGCAAAAGCATTGTCCAAATTCGAAAACCGTGGATACAAGCGTATCTGAAAAATAGAAACAATGTTTCAGGAATAAGAAAGCTTCGGGTTGACAGGGATGCAAATCCTGAAAAATACAAGGGGAATTTGAAGTTCTTGTATTTTGCAGGTAGTTTCATCCCTATCAATCTGAAACTTTCTTATTATTGCCACTACTGTACCTGCACTGGAACAGACCCTTCAAGATTATCTTCCAGGGATAACATATGTCATCCAATTTGATGAATCGTACAGAATACTGTATATTATATGAGCGGAAACACGGTATACATGAGCCTTCTTTATTCACATCGCTTTAGCCATGGTGTTTACGTCATTGCGCAATTGCTGCAGTAGAATACACCAGTGGGAGAGGGCTGACCGCACCTTCCCTCCAAAACATTTCTTTAAGTTTCTGATTTGTTATACAAAAGTTCAATTGATATAACCAGGAAATATCAAACGAATGTCGGATTTGTTTTCAAATTATTTGGTGTCTCAATGCGGAGTGATTCTACTATTTGAATGCCCGAGTACCGTGTATAATAATATCAGAACTCTACCAAGACTATTTTGATCTCAGGGCTCCTAGAATACCAGACTTTGTAGATCAGTGGATTACGATGCTTGTGATGTTACTCTGAGTGTATATCCACACCGGGCAAGCTTGAAAAATATGCCTGTCCACGGTGGGAACCGAACCTACGATCTTTGGAATACTAGCCCAATGCTCTGCCAACTGAGCTATACGCGGTCAGGTCGGTTCGAGTATCTGAGCACATTACACCAACTCAGTGGATTACCTTGTTACAGTTTTCATTATGAATAAAAATCTTAAGCATCTCACCTCGTCACTATTGGAATGCATGTTGTAACAAGCAATCACCAAGAATTCCTTCCACCAAAGTAAACCACCACGACAGTAGATACTTTGCTCCTAAAATTGATGGAGAAAGAAACTAATTCAACTCGAAAATATTTGCTGAAAAATACATTTCCGAATAACCCAGCCAGGAATGAAGCCTCAGGTTTAACGGCACTTTAATTACTCAATTGGGGTGCTCGATTGAGAAGCTCAGATCGAAATATGAAATGCATACTCAATACATTATCAATTGTTTTACATAAAAATTTGAAAATAAAAACAAAATGACGTCGTCTCTAAGCAGTAAATACGTCATAGATGTGGATTCAATACTCTCCGTTGAGCATACTTTACTTATCAAGCAACTTTTAACCTGTGATTCATTGCCAAATAATTTCCATCTTCGACTGAGCAAAGAATAATGAGCAACTCCCATGCGACCTGCAATTGCGAAATACATCCCAGACTCGTCAACAGCAACACTCTGGAAAACGAGAAAACATACTCGAACTTCACCATGTCTTCTCGTACGATACAATCTACTTAACGTTGTAACCTGCTTTAAACGGGAACTCGGGAAATATTGAAGTGATTTGCAAAAGTTCAAGTGGAGTGTCATGCGCATTAACAGGTAAAGAGTTGCACTGTGGAAGGGTTCTATAGTAGATGGAACATTTCGAGGGTGAATTTTATATATTTATTAGAACCAACCAGGAGCAGTTGCGAAAAATGCAAGTATAAACCCTCTGGTAGGAATCGAACCTACGGCACTGGGATCCTGGTGCAGCGGTCTGCTCTCAACGCCAGGCTGTTGGTTAGAGCGCTGCAACCAGAGGGCTCATAACTGTTCCTACTTGGATCTAATAAATATACAAAATTTACACTCGAAATTTCCATCTACTATAAAACCCTTCTTCATTATAGTTGTATCGAGTGTAGATGCCCAAAATCCTAACGAGTTACACTGTAATACTCACCCTAACTGGCCAGTTCTTTTCGATGTAAATTTGCGGATACTAAATAAAAATAGTTAAAAGATGTGAAAATCATGCACCAAATCATGCAAAGTTTTTACTGATATAAACTTTTGAGAAACTGTATGTAAAACATTTAATTGCTTTGATAATCGTTTTTGAGGTTTAATAGTAAATGAAGTACAGTATTTTACTTCTACTACTTTTAAGCAAGCTACTTTGATTGGTCAATAGACCTTTCCCCTTTTTAGTGAAATTTTGATCTAGACAAGTCTGGACAAAAATTTCATCACAGCTTGAAAGAGCATCACAAAATTAGTAATATTCCGAAGTTTCGTTGCGAAATGTTGTAAAATGCGGATAATATAGCCTTGCGAAGTTTTCCGTTTTTCAGTCATTTTGCATTACAAACGGGAAATTGATAATCAGATGATCAAACTGATTATCAATTTCCCATTTGTAATACAAAATGACTGAAAATTGCAAATTTCGCAAGGCTATATTATCCGCATTTTACAACATTTCGCAACGAAACTTTGGAATATTACTAATTTTGTGATGCTCTTTCAAGCTGTGGTGAAATTTTTGTCCAGGCTAGTCTAGATCAAAATTTCACTTAAAAGGGGAAAGGTCTATTCTAACACTTATTATTAGCATGACAAAATTACTGGATGCTGATTGGTCGAGAGGAGTACAATTATTTCATTAATTGATTTTCCCCAAACAAACAAAATGGCGGAAAGGTATTTTAACAAAATACAAATGTGAAATGAAATTGCCCTAGAGGAACTAGATGAAAAGACGAACAAAAGTACCAAACTTTGCTTTAACAAAAGAACTAAATGGAAATACGAACAAAAGCACCAAATTTTGGTTGATAGTCTGACAGGACTGGGCTTTCCTGTCAGACTATGATGTTGACATTGAGAAGTATCCAATTTTGTCATGCTAATAATAAACAAGTAATCATGCGATGTTGCTCGTACAATTAGGGATTAATAGTACTCGTGATGTTTGGAAATTTGCCAAATTGGACTCACCCCGGCGGCTCGTCCAATTTTGGCAAAATTTCCAAACATCACTCGTACTATTAATCCCTAATTGTACTCGCCATCACATGATTACCTATACTAATCATGGCTGTCTATATAATGAAACAGACATCTTCACCTGACAAACAGAAAATGAGTGGCCTGAAGAGAGAGACCAAATTTGTGACCCTTGGTTTGCTTTTCCAACGGTCTAACCGATGCCCTGGCCCTAGCCTGAAAACAGACCGACGTTTCTGCCGCCCTAAAATTCGCGGGTCGACGGAAAGGGCGAACCTTTTCGTCGACCCACGAATTTTAGGACGGGCGAAACGTAGGTCTGTTTTCAGGCTACCCTGGCCCTTACGAACCTTCCCTGGGTGACTGAAATTATATATACATAAGAACCCAGAAATTTTATGTTGGAACCCAGAAACCAAAACAGTGTGTTGCATTTTTGTTGTATTTTAGCCCCGGATTAGCGCTAATCGGTCTGAGGTTAGTTTTACTTCAATGTTTTTGCCACTCTTGAAATGGACAGAAATGTCTCCGAGGGTTGGTTTGTTAGTTATTTTACGTTTACCACCTAACGGTTAGTTTTTAGTTAGAGAGAAAAACCGGAGGACCTCGAAGCATGCGCGGGAGAGACCCAACCAAACCAGGGCCCGTACGCAGGTTCAGAAGGAGGGAGCATTATGCCACAATAAGTACTCAAATGATTGCATCCAAAGTCATATCAGTTACGATAGATGCATGCTTAGGTCAAACTTGGATACGTGGGTTTTTCAAGGTCAGTGCATGAATTAAGGTACCAACCTAAGTAAATCCCTGTCCTCGATCTATGCTAACCACGTCTCTCAACCGATCCCTGGAAAGTATTTCCTCAAACAACTAATGTGAGGCAAGTGCAAAACATGCAACTCTACCTGCACGATCTGCCAATGTTTAGTACTTGATGGCGAGCTAGCGCCATCTTGACAGTCAAAACCTGCTCCTTCAATACCAAATGCATCATTCAGATGCGTCCGAGTGTCAGATATGACATCTGCTGTACTTAAATACAGACATGTTTCACCCTGAAGAACCAAGTGATGATGATTGGCCTAAATAGAAAAGAATTGAACATACACATTGAACAAATTCAAACTAACTGAAGTTTTTTTTTAAAGTTCACGGCAACCCGCGGGTATAATCATGCAGAGATGTTTCTCTATACTCTGGTTTAAGTTAATATAATCCCCGAAATAAAATTTGATTCGCGACTCAATGTTTCCACCACAGAGGTTTCCACATTCCAAAGGAGTTTGTTGAAAGCGTGCATGCATGCATGCATGGACATAAATCTGAATAATCTTGCCCTGAGTAAGGATGACGTCAGATCCAAGAGTCCCTTCTCAATTGTTGGGTTCATCCCGCAAGTTTATGACAGTATATATATATATATATATATATATATATATATACCCCTTTTTAACCCCGCGCGCCCACTTCTCTGTCTAGCCCACTACTGCCCGCAAGTCAAACTTATAGAAAGAAAACAAACTCATAGAGAAAGAAAACAAACTCATAGAAAAAAGAAAACAAACTACAAAGCCTCTGCGGAGGAGAGTGGGCAATCTAAAAGACACTTCTGGATTATCTATGCCTTATAGATAACCGTTGATGAAGACACGAGGTCGTGAATGCAATTTGTCCGGGGGTTGCATTCATTAACTCGAACCAGAGTAACATGTTTGAAATTCAAACCTAGTCTATTTAAGAAAAAAAAAGAAAACAAAAGGCATTGGTATAACATCACTTAATACCGTATATAAACTTTTACTCACAACGCAAGGGTTAGCGGTCAACACGCTCTTAACAAATGGGATATGCACAATTTCACCTGGGAAAAAACAAAACGAACTGGTAACTAACACACTCTAAACAACGGACAGTAAGCATTCATCCAAAGGTGTTGGTATGTGGATGTATCCATACAGTGCCTCCCAACCCACCGTCTTCTCCACTACATATAATGTATAGTCTAGTACATGCACACTAGTGAAGACTCTTGAGGCTGGGAATTCCCTTGCCAACATATTCTGGCCTTGTTATTCGGCGTTGATTCCGTTGAAAATTTCAATTTATGCTGTTGGTTTGCCTCGTGATAATGATTTTTTAAGACTTCGACAACTCAGAAAGAACTCATTGCGTTAATTGTTTTTAATTAGATAGTATATTGTATTTATTAATTGTGCGGAAGAGCCCTTTTTAGGGAACTATAATAAAGTATCTCAAATCTTATCGTATAATGCAAAATTGCTTTAATAATAACCAATCAGGTTTTCATGATTAACATTCTAAGAATCTTTGTACAAACCAGTCCCGCTCCATCCATCTTCTGTAGGTTTCTCTATTGCCAATAACAAGTTGTAACCTTCAACACCCCATTCCTAAAGTGAGAGAATATTTAGGTCATTTCATGATATATAATGCATAATACATAGATAAGTTTAGAATGACGTCTGAAGACATTCCAATTTGCACACAAATGTCCCTGAATGATAACTTACCATTGCACTGACATGCCATGGTTTACTACAGAAAACATCGCTTTGTGACCTAATAAAAAATAGCATTCGAATATTAATACAAACAATGATTGACATATCAAATATTCAGGCAGACTGTAGAACGTCTTCTTGGTAAAATACGAAGTAAAATAGGAAAAGGAGTACTCAATGCAAAAACTTTGACTCAAAAACACGAGACAAAACGTATGGTAATCTGGTGTAATATCAGTTTTGGTTTGCGGAAACACCACGTACATTTATTATTTACAGAGTTTTTCATCGATAAGCCTGTTTCTTCATCAGTCCTATTTTTATAGACCTGGAGGGAGCGAGCTTCGACTCAGTAGTATCATCATCACGTCGGGTAATATTTCGCCGAATCTCCCGAGCGGGGAGGGCAGCAGGAAGTAATTATTCGTATAGTCAATAATTATTCGCCACACAGAGCTACAAGGAGCTTAATCTACCGTGACATGTAACCAAAAGCAAGTAAGATACATTGCTTTACCCATGAAACGTGGAATCCAGTGTACAGAAAAGAAGAGAACCAAAAACACTCCAAACAGCCAGACCACCTCCAAGCCAGGATACGGCTAAGACATGACCATCAGGACTAAAACACAGAGTTTCTACAGTATCCACTGGATTGCTGGAATCTTTTATCAAGTTAGGGAAAAGTCAGTACTGAAAGCCAGGGCCGTACGCAGGAATTTTTCACCAGGGGGCAGTAATTCCTATATACTGAAATAAGTACCCAAATTTCAATGCATTCAAAGTGATATCAGTTAGATGCATAATTATGGCCACCCATACAGAATCATACATTCTGACTCGCAAGATTAGAAGCGCCATTTAGCTTAGTTCATAATTTATAATAACATTATAAAATTGAGGTTTTTGATAATATTTTTATTTTAGCAAAATTTTTTTATTTTAAAAAAACAAATTTTTTTTAAAATATTATCAAAAACCTTTTGTGTGATCCTTGATTTAAATTAAAAACACAAAATTATTTATTATAAAATTAGTAAGTTAAATTTTCTCGGGGCAGTTGCGCTTGCTCCCCGGCCATGCTGAAAGCAACAATCTTCAACGGGCTTGCAGATCGAAAGCTTTGACAAATAAAAAACATGGTGTACTTTACAAAACTAAACATTTATAGCACAGTAGTTTCAAAGCTATACCATACATGGACCATAGTGGAATAATTTACATGTAATTGGTGCTATAAAAATCAGGGGAAAATACAAAAAGGATACTCAGCAAATGTTTGGTCTGTAGTTCAATCTTGTGTGAAAACTGCAAAGCTCCAGTTACCTCATCAAACGAGTACAACATACAGCCACCACTAAAATATATCAAATACATTGTATTAATACAAGCCCCTCGTCCGATAAATACTGGGAGATTAAACCTTCTCACTGCAGTCCTAATATGGTTTTAGTGAAAAGAATTTAATTGTGATTCCCATATTTCGGATTGCATGACGACCTATAATAATGACATATACAGTAACAGAATATCCGGCAGCCTGCCGTGGGGCTGCTAAGGGCCCATAAAGTGAGGGAGTAATCAATTACCTGAGCTGTTTGCTCTCAAATTCAACCCACTTAGTGTAGCTTGGGGAGACCTTTCACGTCCCGCTCCCCTTTCTTTTTCCCTCTTTTCGGATTATCCCAACCGAGTATCGAACATACAGTAAGGCTTTGTTACCACTGAAGCAATGGAATACTCAGTGAAATGAATATAACTGGAACGCTACCTTCAGAAAAACTGACTATATCTTTTTCTTGAAGCCAAGTCTGGGTCAAGATCCGCGAGGCCAGTTCAGGGAGGGAACTCTAAATTTCCTATTACAGGTAGCGTTCAAGTTATATTCATTTCACTGGGAATACCCGATTGAGGCACTCAGAAATATGATAATTAAGTACTGTTTAATAAACGAGCAGGAGTGTTTTGTTACCTCGGGTCGGTACGACACCGACGTCATAAATTCGGCTCCTATTTTTTTTCTCCATTTTGTGTCGAGCCGCGCGCGTAGTCGAAGAGCTTGCGGAGGAGACGACAACTTCCGGTAAATAAGTGTATGTAATTCCGGGAAATTTCAAGCATCGGCCAAAGCGAAACGGAACCCGAAGCTGTTCTTGCACAAAATCCGTCAAAATTGTTGATTTAAAACCAGAAGATGTGATAATTTTGACATACATGTTTAGCTGGATAACTATTGTCGAGTATATGTTGACATAATGTGCAATACTTCGTATGCATAGCATGGGAATACCGCGGCCAATTTTCACTTGTTTGATACTGCTAAGCATTTTATGGATGGTTCTTACTGTAACTGGTAGACAACAATTTTTCCAACTGTCCACTCATTACATTCTTCGACTGTGGTACAACTATTACTAATGATGGATCAGTTATATGCACCTAATTATATTTTCGGTACTTTGATATATTTTAAAAATATCTGAAGTGACTGTCGTTCTGCTATGTGCAATCAACGAATAGACTGATAATATTGTCTGTTAGTGTTACTAAATACAAGATGAAGTAGTGAAGTAGCTATGTATATCATTCACTCGTCCACAAAATATCCCAAATAATGAATAAATACAGTTAAATAATTGCGTCAGTAAATTCTCTAAATTGTTCCTGTATTTAACTATTATCAATAAAATGTTAAAACGGAGCTTTGATTGACTGATTCAACATTTATACTAGCGAACTATTAAACTATCGTGATTTACACGATTTTTGCATATTTACCAGACGATGCCCTATCCACCGACCCGAGGTTAACGCCGAGCGGGCGTCTTGTTAGGTTGAAAGCCACGAGCGCGCAGCGCGAGTGGCTTTAGACCTAATAAAACACGTCCTGCGAGTTTATTAATTAAACGGCTTCAAACACGACTACAAATTCAATGGATATACTGCCTTATTAGTATTCTTCATATAAAGAATACTAATGAGCACACAACTATATTAGATACTGCCTTATCAGTATTCTTTATATAAAGTATACTAATTAGGAGTGTTTTATCAGGTTTAAAGCCACTGCACGTGACATATTATGGTTGAAATGATTTGCCAATAAGCTTATCAATTATTAATGAGTGTTTGAAGTATAATTATTATACACTGAACTCGGAATATCCATGTCACATATTCGACGAGATAAACAGATGATGATGATTTAGGCTAAATTTGCTGATTAAGATGTCCTGATTAACCTAGAATATTATTTGGGTTAATTTAATATTCCTGGTTAAATTTACTGGTTATTATATCACTTCCTACCACATGCAAGTCTGGTTAGTCTAACCAGGAATCTAGCTTTATTTGACCAGAAAGACATGCATGGTCAAATTAACCAGACTATATATCAGGATAAACGTTAAAATGAAAAGGAGGTATTTCTAGGTTAATAACCAGGAAAAGTTTAACCAGAGTATTTAGAGAGTGTACAGTACTGCAGAGGCCAATAAGCAATACTCTCAACTATACTACATACTACTATAACCTCTACATATTTTCATGATTTAATGAAGCACTTACTGAGTACAGCCATAGGCAATAATACGAAACTTATGGTTAACTTTAACACATGTGGCGTGCGTCAAGTCTCGAGCCCAAATGGCAAGAACATCCTGGAAATAAAAACAAAATATCTGAGTGCAATACTCTACTATCGGCATTGCTAAATTTACAAACAACACACGAGGCAAACTACACATCAATTTGTGCAGACAATTTCTTATGTTGTTTATATCACTGGAAAAAATAGAATGGAAATTGTATGGACCTTCGTTGGAAATAGAATGGATTTTGATTATCCATAGTAATTGTATATTTCCATAGTGTGGATGTAGTATGGAAATAGTATGGATATACTATGGATTTAGTGGTGCAATTGCAAATTTCGTAGTATGGATTTCCCCAGTGTATAATTATATTGCTTAATAGTCAGTGATCTGTTTGTTTCCTTGTTCAAGAGGCTCTCGAAAACATCCTCAATAGAGTTGCACGAAATTATTATTAACAAACACCTATGTAAGTTTCGTATTTCTGACAAAACTATATAACTCTTGTATTGACTGAAATCGACTAGTACTATCTTAACAGTTGAAGGGTTTTGTAGCTGAAAAAAGATTATACATAATTTTAGACCTAAACCAGCAGCAATAGCGAAAAATGCAAGTATTGGCCCTCTGCTGGAATCGAACCTGCAGCCCTGCGATTCTGGTGCAGCGCTCTAAAAGCCCGTTTACACAGGCGATTTTTGCTGCGATTTTGGTTGTAATTTTCTCCTATTCGAGGATATGAAGGAGTAGATTACTTAATAATGTTGTTATGGGATTTCTGATTTCATAACCTGGAACATTTATAATTCATCCACTCCTTCACATCCTCCAAAAGGAGAAAATCGAAACTAAAATTGCAGCAAAAATCGCCCGTGTCAACGGGCCGTAATGAATTGAGTCGTACAGAGTCCAGTTATCAAGCTCTAACCACAAGTTCTTGTTTGACAAATAGATAAGATTTTGCCGTTGTCTGTTGAGTTATAGATACACAGTATGACGTCATAATGTGGGAAGAGCGAAAAGTGGCTCACGAAGGAGTGGGACAGTTTTTTTGTTCTTCCAACATTATGACGTCATACTGTGTATCTATAACTGAACAGACAACGGCAAAATCTTATCTAGTTGTTTTATATAATAAAAAGAAACCCCCTCCCCCCGAATCAAACAGGTAAATAGCTTACTATATATATATTAATATAAGACAGAACTTATACCTGCGGCTCAAACTTGGACGTAGAAGCAGACAGGAAACCACCACGTCCATTTTCCAACACAATAGCAAACCCTCCAAGTAAAGCACTGTACTGCATGTCTCGAATATTACTTTCTGACGACTTGAGATATTGGGCTGACTCTTGAAAATGACATCAAAGAACATGCATGTACTTTCGCATGTAAACAGTAAATCATGGAATAAACATGCAGTAGAAAATGATGAAAAGGGAAAGAAAATATCACAAATAGAAATTGGCAACCAAATATTTGTCACGTGAAGGAGGAAGAATATGACGCAATGAGCGACAATTACTTGTACTTTTCAAACATTTTCTTGGTATCCATGCTAGTTTGCTTTATTAATCTTTCAGAGACTTTCAGAAAATACTTATTCGCCAATGGGAACATCATGCGCGGAATTTATTGACTATCCCAATCACCCACCAGTTCTCATGCTTATAAACCTGCCTCATCTTAAACAGTTAATTTATTTAAGAGTTAATTTATATGCGCGCCTTTACTAGACATTGCCCACATAACCGAACCACTGATCTACATGCATCACTGATATGTGCCAAAACAAGAGCCAGCTGAGGAGGCGGGATAAAAACTGCATCAGTAGCAGAATATTATATCAACGTTTCCACTTACCAATCGGTGTTTCCAGGTCAAGTGAAAAAGGAATAGACGAGACTGGGAGAGAAAGATCTTTATCCACTGTTCCATTCCACTGAACACGATGTAAAACTCCCAGTTTACTTGCTACAAATATTTCATTTCGTTTGATTGACAAACTTGGGAGAAAAATGAAAGTGGAAAGAAAATTAACAAAAGACTTTGTACTATATTAGTTAATGTTTTTCGCGACAATGATGAATGAAAAAGTTCATGAGAGGAAACTTATATGGAATACGGAAACATTTAATGGTCTCAGGAAAAAAAAACAGAAGATGAGTTAATGGTATACAATACAAAACATACTACGAAAAAAAGTTATCAACAAGAATTCACGATATGCTTTCTATTAATAATTCTCTTTAATGTTATCGTTTCTTAAGCGATTTATAAATACTAGTCCATTTTGTAATGTCTCCGTGTAATTACTATAGCTTTGAAATAAAATCAAAATATCACCGCATGTCGTGTATTCATGTTAATTGAGAACTCACATCTTGGGAGCAAACGATTCTTTTAATCTGAATATATGTTTTGTGATGCATTTAAAGCTATCGGCTGGGAATGGATTAGAGTGAATGGGTTTCAATGTATCTGATAATTTCCGGCCACCAACAGACAGGTATATATTATTCTAACCTGGAAACTCCACCAAGGATGGACAGAGTAGTTATTTCAGCCAATAGTATTGCTGGAACATCGTACGATATTTTGTGGTTAGGATTTCCAACATTTCTGCAGCACAAACGTACCGTCACCAATTAGTATAAGCTCGAATTATGCTCTCAATCTCGCAAAATAAGAGCAGGATTTTGGCTTTAGAGAGTTTTGTAGCGACAATTGAGAAATATAATTTCACTTACAAAGTCTGGGGAGCGTGTAGATTTACAGAACAGTCTCTATCGTGCACAATAATTAACTTTTTAAATCTGGTGATATGAACACCGCGGAAAAACGTCTGCGCATGCACCAAATTATGAAAATATGGCGGGGAATTTGAATATCAATTTCTAAAACAAAAACATGCTTATTAATTGGTCAAAAATTAGTAAAACAAACGAGAAAATATAGAAAATGGGTAGACTAGACATTAATTGAAAGCGTCCTGGCATTTAAAGTATGGAATGAAATATAATTCATGTAAAAAAATGTTGATTTTAACGGACACGACTTCGAAAATTTTTGCAAAAGTATTCAAAACAAAAATTCAAACTAAAAAGTTAAGAAAACTCTCGAAAAGTTAAGCTTCTTAACCCACTCAAATTGTAGAATAAATCCTAAAGTTTAATTATTGTGAACACGCAAATTTTTTATATTTGGCGACACAGTTTTTTTTAAAGAAATGTATCTCAAACGAAAATTCGGAAATTGTCATTGCTTAGTTGATAAACAAAATGTTTCAGACGATAAATTTGTCAACAATCACCTTTAGTTCATGTTCTTGTACAATACAATTTCTTGAACCTTCTGGCTGTATTTATTTCTAGTTTTTAGAATGACATGTTTATTTTTGGGCTTGAAATCTGGCTGTAAAGACGCACAATGAAGTCACTCCTTTTTACCGCCATTTTGAGCCTTCGGAAACTAGTGATGGGCGATACCGAGTACTCGGTATTCGATACCAGCGATACCACAAACAGCGGTATCGGTATCGATTACTGACGTGGTATCGTTCGATACTTGCACCCTTTTTTAAACGACATGTTTAATTTCACTTCTTGGTTGAATAAGACTTAATAAACCACTAAAGTAACTCTTAATATTCCAAATGTGGTGCGTCAAGTCATGTTAGAAAATATTTATTACGTTTCGGGCTTTTGGTTTACTTATAGCTTTATTTAGGTTACATACAGTAATGTAAAATGTTTTTCCGCTGACCGGCAGGTATCTAAAGTACCTGTTTTGAACAACGTTCTGTACCTGTTTTGAACAACGCCGAACAACCTGATCAATTTTTACCCGTGTAGCCGATACTAGAAATTTAAATACTCACTTCCGGTATCGAAAATTGAAATTTTGTGTTCATTTTGGTATCGAAATAGGTATCGGTATCGGCCGATACCGATCTTAAAAGTATCGGTATCGGTATCGAATTAAAAATCCTGGTATCGCCCATCACTATCGGAAACGTTCGGAACAGCTTCTCATCAACACCGCGGAAAAACGTCTGCGCATGCGTCACCCTTACCTGTAATCGTATTGTGAACTTGATGAGAAGCTGTTCCGAACGTTTCCGAAGGCTCAAAATGGCGGTAAAGAGGAGTGACTTCATTGTGCGTCTTTACAGCCAGATTTCAAGCGCAAAAATAAACATGTCATTCTAAAATCTAGAAATAAATACAGCCAGAAGGTTCAAGAAATTGTATTGTACAAGAACATGAACTAAAGGTGATTGTTGACAAATTTATCGTCTGAAACATTTTGTTTATCAACTAAGCAATGACAATTTCCGAATTTTCGTTTGAGATACATTTCTTTAAAAAAACTGTGTCGCCAAATATAAAAAATTTTCGTGTTCACAATAATTAAACTTTAGGATTTATTCTACAATTTGAGTGGGTTAAGAAGCTTAACTTTTCGAGAGTTTTCTTAACTTTTTAGTTTGAATTTTTGTTTTGAATAATTTTGCAAAAATTTTCGAAGTCGTGTCCGTTAAAATCAACATTGTTTTACATGAATTATGTTTCATTCCATACTTTAAATGCCAGGACGCTTTCAATTAATGTCTAGTCTACCCATTTGCTATATTTTCTCGTTTGTTTTACTAATTTTTGACCAATTAATAAGCATGTTTTTGTTTTAGAAATTGATATTCAAATTCCCCGCCATATTTTCATAATTTGGTGCATGCGCAGACGTTTTTCCGCGGTGTTCTTCTCATCAGGTTCGCAATACTATTACAGGTAAGGTTGACGCATGCGCAGACGTTTTTCCGCGGTGTTGGTGATATGTGTATATCTGACGAACAATAGAATGAAAGGGGGGGGGGGGGAGAAAGAGCGCCCAGAAGTAGGTATAAACGCACATGACATTTGATCATCTCAATAGTTTCTATAGGAAGTAACTATACATAAAGTTGTCTATAGATTTAATACTATATGCTAGAGAAACTAAAATTTACTAGCACATATTTGCTAAATGGCAAAATAAAATTATCGATCGCAATTTTTTACCAATTTTTATCAATTATTATTTATTAACAAAAACTGAATTTCCTTTCATTCAACAGACCAATATTTCAGGTTTCAAGGAATCCATTTGTTATCTAGCTTCAAAAAATTGACGAAATTTGTTATCTAGCTTCACAGGATAATTGAAGAGCAGAAAATGTTCATGGAAAGTGTGGCGGATATTTGTAGACGTTTGTTGGAGCGATAGTGATCTTGATCAAAAATGGAACCAATAACTTTGGTGGTTACCTAACCAAAGATATGGGTCCACATTTGAATGTTCAACCAATGTCTTCGGTGGTAATCATACCATAGGATTTGTCATCATTTGTGGCATGTTTCCTTGTGTCGATGTGAAACCTGTGACTTTATTGATTCTTCTACAATCTCGGCACCTAAATCTAAGTATAATGTCAAGCACCGTTTTACGTGCACCTCTTCCCATCTTATATACTTTATCTTATCTTGTGCAGCAGATGTGACATGCTCTATATTGGGGAAAGACTTCTGAGGGCAACATTTCGTGAATATCGTCGTGTTATCATTGGCAACCACAGTGTTTCGGATATGAAAATTGAAGCCATCTACCCCATTTCTGGTAGCAACTATAACCGCAAAAGACACGAAATGCGTCTCGTTTCTAAACTTGGTACTATCTACACACTTTCCTATATTAAGGTCTGCAGTACCATAAAAAATAATCCGCCATTTTGGGTGGCAAAGATATTTTATTCAACCGGTTACTACAAAGCTGCATGTGGACTATTATAACTCTTCAAAATGCTCAAACAAAAGCAACAACCGCAGTTAGTACCACAGTTTTGCTTTTAATGAACTATTTTTAAGTTGCCATCCAAAATGGCGGAAGTCAACAAATACGTGTTGTGACGTCACTTTGCAAGAATCCAATAGCTATTTACCTGTCTGACATGTCTGACAATACTCTTAATCTTCACCACACATCATACTATAGCTCGTTTTCATATACTCGTTCTACAGTACTGTAATTATGTCTTTATCACCTAGCTTCAATATTAATATCTTCTGCAATGTGATTTACATTTCTGGTTGACTAAATCCATCTGACTGGTTTATTTGATCGCTTATATATTAACTAGCATGTCCATGTAAGCACACGTAAGCACATGTCTTTTCCGACTGTCGAAGTTCTCTTTGTATTTTTCAAGTATGTATATCCAGCTCTAATCATTACAACCAACCTACGGTGGCTATACCGACCAGAGCTGGAAACCATTTGAAACCATTTCATTCTTTTTCGTCGATGGAACTGGAAACATTTTCCAAAAATGCAACTACATGGCAGCAATCGTACATGCGACTCTACGTTTCCTCTTTTATCATTCAGATTTTTTGTTAATTGAAGCCTGCAATGCATGTGATGTTTAGGAGCTTCTGACGTTCAGGACATTATATTTTTTAGTTCAGTGATTTATTTTTCCTGGCAATTTTCTCCTTACCATCGCTATATGGATTTTTAGAACTGTTTACGCTCTCTTGCTTTTCAAGCTCATAAGATGTACCAATTCAAATAATTCTTCCTGGTTCTACTGAATTTAAAATATCATATTTTTTCTTGCGAGTGTCCACATATAAAAAATGTTTCTTCGGATTTATTGTCCGAAGCTTCATCCATATTCTCCCTTCCAAATAAAGACAACCAATTGATAATCATGGAAATAAGGTAGCAATCTGGTGTGTCCATCGCTATATAGAGCAATATTTGGCGGAGGTTTTGCTCTGTGCATCAACGCAAATGCCATTAACCGCAACCATGATTCATACAGCCACCTTGGTAGAACGTACCGACCTCCTCCAGCATATCAACATGTAGCACTCCACAAACCAAATCTCTGCTTGTTGGGAGTTAAAACTTCCAACCAACAGGTACTGGAGTTTTTCGTTGTTATAACGAAGGTAGTTTTGAACTTTCCCAAACTTTTGCGAAGGAATAAAGCAAATAACCCGTTTGAATAACCCTATAGATATTATGCAACAGAGTGTAGAGATATTTTGTTTTCAAGATTTGTGCGTACTTGCCAATGACAAGTGAATGTGTAGGCACGAATCAATACTATATTAAAATACTTCTTAAGTAGTAATACCTCTGGTTTTTAGAACATATAGCTGTCCTGAGTCTCCCTTGGAAAGTTGTAATTCATAAAAAATCAGTCTTCCATTTGATGTCTAGGAAATTGAAGGATACTAATTTATACAGACTTGAAGCACTATTCAAGACAACAAAGGTCACACAAGTCCTTGCTCATTAAAATAAGAGTAACATGTGAGGTGTGCATGGGTACACGCAGGTAAATATTTGTTTTGTATTTAATTCAATAAAAATCGATAACATTGATTTATTTTCGTGTTGGAAAATTTCACCTTTCACCTCATGAAAAGTTTTCCATTGCACTCATAAACATTCATTATTAAATAGTATTATATTTATCTACTATGCATACAGTACGACTTGTTTATATCAAATTGCAGTTCAAAGCAAGCAATAATTTTCTACCTTTATTACAATGGCTGACGAGTCAAACTTCCATGCAAAGTCTTCATTTCCACCATATTCTTCCACTGATGTTCTTGATCGACGATATGATACTATCACGACAAATGGCTAAAATATGCATATAATATAATTACAAAATTTGTTTCATTGACTGCAAGCTATTGAAATAGTGGATAAAATGCAATATTTCATGCATGGCGAGAAAACAATAATGCAAATAACTTTCTTTTGTGGTACTGTAACTAGTAAATATATAGAGAATACATGGGTGCGCGGAAATACCAGATTTATTTCGAGTGTTGAACATGATACCTCACGAGTGAGCGCAGCGAACGAGTGAGATATCATGTTCAATACGAGAAATCAATCTGGTATTTCCAAGCACCCATGTATTTTTCTGTTTATTATATAAGCAAAATTCAGTGAAAAACAATAAAACGTCCGTGGCAATGCGTTTTACAACAAATGATATTTTCACACATAAAAATATCGTATTTTTTACGTGCGTTTAAATACGATTTTTCTCAGTGGCCAAAAACTCTATATAACACTTATGTTTATATAATAAATATATTTAAAATACTCATTAAAAATTCATAAACCTTGTGGCAAATCATGTCAGCCATAATATGTCACGTGGAGTGACTTTATATCTGATAAAACTCATCTTCATTAGTATTCTTTATATAATTCTTCATCCTAATTAGTATGATTATATAATTGTTCATCCTAATTAGTGTTCTTTTGTAGTCGTATTTTAAGCTATTAAAAACACTCGAACTCACGTTTTATCATATCTAAAACGCTCGGCTGCGCCTCGCGTTTTAAATATGATAAAACACTCCTTCTCGTGTTTTAAATACTACATATATATACCGGTAGATAGATGGTTTATTTCATATAAACATTGCAGCCATGCAATAGGCTGAATTACGCTTATATTTACAATTTTATTGATCATATTGGCCAGGTCTTCCAATTCAGTTGAATTGTTTTCGGATCCACAATCCAAGTTCCGTAAGAGAGAGATTGGGTCTGTAGACTTTTTTTGGCTTTTTTTCCACCACTCCGCCCGTGAACAGGTTTTTAAATATTCAACCTTCGATGAATAAAATTTTTCTCGGCACGACTTGCGTTCTGGACTGACTTGGTTTCTTAAGGATTTAAACAGTGTCTCATCACCGCGAGCTATAGAGCGGCTTGTTGGTGTCAAACCAAATTTTTTAATGATTGAGAGATCTAAAGGGGGTCATTGGGACATTCAATTTGGATTTTAAGAATAGTAATGTATCTTGTCTATAGTCAATTATTGATTCGAGCATTTCTACTGTACCTTTGCATTGGCTGAGAAGCACATTCGTACCGGCGGTCCATTACGTAAAAACAAACGCATGCATTTTAAAACAAAACAGCAAAACAAATTGAAAATTTGAAAATTATAATTTAATTTGTTATTAATAAGATATCTGCGAATGGTTTTTAGTGGAAAAGAAGGAATACATTGGTATTTTTTGTTTTCTTCCACCAAATGTGTACGACGCTACTAATATGCATTTCAAATCTTGCATTTCTTGTTTGTTTCAAGTATAAATGCCTATAAATGCCATATAATAAACGTTTTATTAACCTCGCTTGCTTGGTATGTACAGAGAAAAATCGGACCTCAGACTTTTTGTACAAAGGTCTGTACAAAAAAAACCTCAGTCCGATATTTCTCTGTACTAATACTGTACTGTAAAAACTAATTAAGGTTACAGGACACCCTTTTTGGCGTTTTGTGGAAAATCGCTACTGCGCGCTCAAAATCAGTCCGATTTTCATCAAATTTTCACCAAATGTTAGCCAGTGCATGCAAAATATGATGAAGTTGTAAAATTGACAAACAAGTCAATAACATAATGTAAGAATTATTCATGAAAATCTTAAGTCGCGGTACCTTTACGCTTTTGAGTTATGTTCCTGCTGGTTTTAAGATATATTTATGAAAATATCATTTTTATACAGTAAAATAGTTGTTCTAAAAAATCGTGTTCGGAAATTTTTGTTTATTTCGTCATTCCCCTGATATGGCGATTTCTTTGACGACTGCAATATATTTCTGAATCGTTTGTGTGAATTGCTCCTTATTATTAAAATATCCAAAATTAGAACAAAGCCGAACACAATTTTGAAACTGACGTCTTTAGCTATGTCCTGTGAAACCCGCAGGAGCACAACTCCTTTAAAAATCAGTAATTGCCGTAAAATTCTTCGGGAGAAAATTGAATTTGAATATTACATTTTCAATATGTTTGTGATGTTACTCTGAGTGCATATCCATATGCACTCAGAGTAACATCACAAACATATTATTCACCTGAGTACACAACACCAACACAGAAAAATACATTTTCAATGTTTTTCTTATTGCAAGCGAAATGTATTTTATTATTAAAATAACTCTGCGAGTTTTCAACATTTTTCGTCCAAACTTGGTCAGATAGTAGAACTAGTCTAATGCTTTCATGGAAACCAATAAAACAATTTTAGGCAAAATTAACACTCAAAGGTGTTCTGTAACCTTAACAACATACGTATGTACTGTTTGAATTTTGAAAAGTTTAGGATTATAATAAAAAACCGGCATTTTCTTTGTAGATAAAAATACAAAAACGACTTCCCGCGGCTTGTTTCAAGATTTTTACCAGGCCACAAAGATTCCACGCGCGAGTCGCGAGGATGATGTCTGATCTAAATAAATGTTTAAACTGGACTACTGGTGGGATCCACCTTAATAGAATAGGGAGATGAATTATAAACATAAGCTTACGAGGCGGGGGTAGTTTAAAAAGGTCGGGCGTTTTGACATTCTTGTTACCAGTCTCCTATCATTTTCGCAAGCGAAGCCGACATCATGGCATGTTTCAGGAAAATCACAAGGTGAATTCATGAATAATATCACTTTATTTGCAGCTTTTTAAAATAAAATCTTGTTAACGTTTGTCTTTTTAGTACATAATTTAACAGACTAGGAAATAAATAATAAGAAAGGAGAAAATGATGATTACAATTGAATCCAAGAGCGACGGGAACGGCTCTTTAATAGCCAATTTATAGCGTTCAGAATTTACAAATGCTATATTATATAAATATAAATAAATTGTTTGAGCAGATTATAACATCTTTGTAGTTTTCTTCTAACTCAGGGGTGAGGGGCATTTGACTACGATTGACCAAAAGTGCTGCTTCACAGCGGGGCCTATTGACACAAAAATATTGAAAATGTCAAATGCCCCTGGGTTTGCCCGCCGTCCCTAGGGTCGGGCATAACATTGATTGGTGCATAATAGTATGGTTTCGAGTGCAATTTGGAAAAAAAAACAGGCACAAGTGAATTTTTCAAAGACAATCAAAATTGCACAAATCCGAAGGACAAGTTACTTATTAATAATAGACATGAAAAAATTATGCACTGTCACTCCTAAATGTTGTCTTTTTTTTTATCATTTCTGCTGGAAATTGCTGCATCTTATTGGCTATCTTTGTTATTATTTCATATTTTAAGCCAATCAGAAAGCCTAAATAGTCATGAAATTTGCACTGTATTAATTTCTGTTTTTTGCACTGTGTATTTCATTTTTGGCACTGTATTTCAAAATAATTGCACTGCTCTTAGCCAATCAAAATTGATAAATTTTTTCATGTATATCATTAGTATTTAAATGCTGCAAATTTAGTATTGTTCAAAATTTGTCTGCTCCTTTGTGACAGAAGCCATCTATTTTATATACAGCGTGACTCCATCACTCCATGCATCAATGCATGACTCCATTTAATAGCAAATACCATTCTATCAAGTTCAGATGCCTACAAGCATAGGCATACAAGTTAAGCATGCTTAAAAAAGTTGTGGGCATTTGGACATATAGTTTATACAATAAGCTTGCTCAAGGCACACGCTGAATACGCTAGAGGTACGCCAGATATACGGTACTCACACACTGGCATTTCAATGGATGGACTCCAGTCTTCTATAAAGCAAATTCCATCTTGGCAACGATTCCAACTACGTCATTGATGTTCTGCAGAAAGATCTTTCAGTGGGTAACGAAGGGTGAGGACATACCTTCGTTCCACAATGGGTCAAGAATTTCTCTTCTCTGTATGGAACGAGCATATACTAATAGAACATGGCTCGAGAATGATATGAACAGAATCATTGATGTTTTTGGCCAATGAAGTCACCGTGCCTCACATTTCTTTTGACAGTATACTGTACATGGCCACGTTATATTTAGCTCCGTTGAAATCTACATTATTAATACTTTTAATAACTTCTTTGGAATCGTGGTACGGTTTAAAATACCCTAGATCTATCACAGAACCTTTCACCGATGTCGAAACTACAAATTCAACGGCGCATCGGCAACTATTCTTGCCTTTTTCAAATTCTTTAATGAAGGCGAAGCGAATGTCGAATAAATCGAAGCTTCGGGATCGATGCAGACAGTTACATGGCATAAACATGGCTATATTAGCCTAGCTGTACCCGACTCGGAACCTGTTATCAATATAACCATATACATGGACATTTCGCTTAACCCTGCCCCAGAAACTGGGAATGACACAGTATGTAATTTAAGTTTGAACGGAAGAAAGACGGCATCTTGTATTCAACCGCAGCGTGCTGTTGGTAGCCGCTTATCTTTCTCTCCGGACATGTCGACGAGCTTGCGCCGTAACTTGGAGTGTCGTACACACATGGCTTGCTCCCAATTCCTGACAGACCTCGAGAATTCAGGCTTATTGCATTGTTATGGGAACGCTGGGAGACAACAAGAAAATATACTATCTGATTATAAAAAGAACAACATTGAGACCCTCGTCACGCATCGACCACCATGCAAATCTGCATATGCACAGAATAGAACAGTAAACGAAAACAACATAATAAACATAACACTGCTCCCTGATACTCCCGCTGCAGATATTAACAACAATAGGATCGGTGAACTGTTTACACTATGTGTACTTAATGCACAGTCACTTAACAACAAGGCTGCTCAATTTATCGACTATGTTGTTGATTGCAAAGCAGATATTGTATCACTCACTGAAACTTGGTTTACAAACACTGAGTCGGCTACTAGAGTATTGTGCACGCCAAATGGATTCAATCTCCTCGACCACCCCCGCTCTAATCGTGTAGGTGGTGGGACCGGAATTTGATTTAAGGAGAATATTACTGTCAAAAAACTAGCTGCTGGCGAACTTCATTCCTTTGAATACTCTGAATGGAGCGTTGTTAATGGATCTCGCCGCCTACATTTAATAATTGTGTATCGACCTCCGTACTCAGACGCTCATCCGGCGACTACAAGACAGTGTATTTTTCTCCGAGTTTACCAAATTCTTGGAATCAATTACTTTGTCCGACGACCCTCTCCTAATAACGGGTGATTTCAACATCCACATCGACAGTACGGACAACTTAGATTACATTAAATTCCTTGATCTCCTTGAAAGTACCGGACTTAAACAGCATGTCAGAGGCGCCACTCACTAGCTGCTCTGGCCATACCCTTGATTTAATAATCACCAAGCAGACTGATAATATCATCACCAGCATTCCGAGGGTTGACCATTTGTTTTCTGACCATAACGCTGTTCTTTGTATAACCTTGAATCTAACGCAGTTCCACTAACACAGAAACATATTTCTTTTCGTAAACTTAAATCTGTCAATATCGAGGCTTTAAAAGAAGAAATATCCTCTTCCGACCTCTGTAAAAACCCACCATCCAAGCTTACAGACCTGGTTTCATGCTATAATAATACCTTGATGACTGCTTTAAATCATCAAGCGCCACTGATCTCCAAGACTATTACCACCAGGCCTGCTGTCCCATGGTACAATGATGAGATTAAATGTGCAAAGCATTTGAGAAGGAAAGCAGAAAGGAAATGGAGACATACTAAACTTCCGACTGATTTCCTTGCTTTTAAAACTGCGAAAAATCATACTGTACAACGTTTCTTATGGACCAAGCGCGGCAAAATTTCTATAGACAGTTTATCTCAGAGAACAGTCAAGATCAGAGGAAACTATTTCGTGCAACTAAAGGTCTTTTTAGACATGATTCTGATCTTGCCTTTCCCCACTATAACGACAGCAATGCTCTCTCTAATGATTTAGGACAATTCTTTGCTCAAAAGATTATCAATATTCGCTCTGAACTTGATACAGCATCAACCTATGAACAAGCAGTTTTTTCTGACATGCCGTCGGTCTCACTGAACAGTGACCAGATTTATCAAGAATTTTCTCCAATGAGCGATGATGATACTGAACGGCTAATAACCTCGTCAAACAAGAAATCTTGTTCCTTGGATCCTATCCCAACTAAATTGGTCGTCGAATGCCTGGATGTTCTTCTGCCTGTTATTACCAATTTCACTAGAGTCTGGCATTTTCCCATGTGTCTGGAAAGAGGCTGATGTCCAGCCAAGACTCAAGAAACAAGGCTTGGAAGTAATATTTGAAAACCTACGACCTATCTCCAACCTCCCATACGTTTCAAAACTAGTCGAAAGGACAGTTTGCAATCAATCCCATAATCATCTATCAGTTCATCATTTGTACCCTGGTAATCAATCGGCATATTGAGAATTTCATAGCACCGAGACAGCACTACTGCGTGTTAAGAACAATATACTTATGAACATGAATAGGCAACACGTCACTTTACTTGTACTGCTCGACCTCAGTGCTGCGTTTGATACTGTCGATCATGTTCTCCTACTTCAGCGCCTGCAATTGAAATTCAGTCTATCTGGAACTGTTCTTAAATGGTTTACATCTTACCTTTCTCAGCGAACACAAGGAGTTACAGTTGGCGGTGTGTCTTCCGAGAAATTCAATGTTGATTGTGGTGTTCCTCAGGGATCATGTCTAGGTCCGCTTCTGTTCGTTCTTTATGTAAGCGAACTACTTGAGTTAATAGAGCGTCACCTACCAGATGCACATGCTTATGCCGACGACACCCAGCTTTATATCTCGTTTCGCGCAGATTCTCGTATCGACCAAGAAACTGCAGTCCGAACTGTACATTGATGACATCAAACAATGGATGCTTGCTAATAGACTGAAACTCAACGAGGGAAAAACTGAAGTAATTCTAATCGGCACTTGGCAACAACTCGAAAAAATCGACTTCAACAATATTCGTGTTGGCAGCAATGTTGTTACTTGTGTTGAGAACGCCAAGAACCTCGGCTGCTGGTTTGACTCGCAGATGAAAATGGACACCCATGTCACTAAATGCTGCAAAGCTCCCTTCTTTCACCTTTATAACATTAGACGTATTAGGAAGTTCCTTGATCAACATACAACTCAGATTCTTGTGCAGGCTTTCGTTATAAGCCGCCTGGACTACCGTAACAGTCTTTTTTATGGCCTTCCTTCAACCCAGTTGAGGAAATTACAAGCTGTTCAAAACGCGCCAGCCCGGCTTATCTGCAATACTCCTCGGTTCGATCATATCACTCCTGTCTTATATGATCTTCATTGGTTCCCGATTAAGTCCCGCATCGATGCTCTTCCCAAAGCTATCAGGATTGCATCCTCAACAGCTACATTTAAAAAGTTACTAAAGACATTTCTATTCTTAGAAGCTTTTAATTAATGCTTGTGCATGTTCCATTTTTACTTCTAGTTATCGCTGTGATACTTTTATAAATTCTTAACATTATTGTAATATATTTTTATCTAATATTTATAATTTGTATATTATTTACTACTGTAAGAAGCGCACTTGAACATATCCACATGAAAAATGCGCTATACAAATGTAATTTCATTATCATTATCATTATAGGATAAACTTGTAGGGGAGATTAGGTTAGGTTTTTGGTAAAAGTTACATTTATGATATTAAAATAGTCATCAGACATGGTCTTGTTTCATTCATTTTCTCTTCGTTCCTCGCCCGCTCCAGGCACAAAATTTCACCCCAAAATGCAGGAAATGGCATTTTAGAGGATCTACATTTCAAAGTTTCCCTGGGGCGCATGCCTCCGGACCCCCCCCCCCAGACTCTGGGGCGCATACCTCCGGACCCCCCCAGACTGTAAAGTAGTAGCTTTGCAGGGAATTAATTTCCCGCGCAAAAAAATTCCAATTGTGGAAATCCGTGCAAAATGGCTTTGTTTTGAAAATCCGCGCAAAAATTCCTGTCAATCCGCGCAAAATGGCTTTGTTTCGAAAATCCGCACAAAAATTCCTGAGAATTTACTCAAAAGCCGCATTCGGGCGTTTCCCCCCTAAAAAAATCCACGCATTTTTACCGAAAAAATTGTTTTTGCGTTTTATATTTTAAAAAAATCCGCGCATTTCTACCGAAAAAAAGCCTTTCACGCGCAAAGCTACTACTTTACAGTCTGGGACCCCCCTAGCAGTTCTCGCGCCTTTGCCGCTCGTCGGGCAGATTGACATCCGCCCTACAAGTATACTCACATGACAATACCAAAGTGTTAGTCTATCTTCAGTTAACACAGCAAGAATAGAGCGATCTCTGTTAAACTTGAATCCACAAGGCTGCCCAGTCTGAATATCATTGGTGCCATAATATTTGGGCCAACCAACAGCAAAATACATGCTGGTATAAATACATTCAAAATATTTTAGACATTCAGCTAAGATTCAACCGCGATTCATAGCTTTTGAATCAAAGAAAATGAGAGAAAACACGTTCCCATTTCCAACGAAAACATATAAGTAGTTAAAACATCTTGATGAAATACAGAAATATTAAAATGAAAAATATTTACACAACCAAAAGGCACAAACAATATTCCAGTGTGTAACATGACCGCATCTCTGTAACCACAGTACTTCATGTAGAGAAAGCACTCTGAGAAGGCATTCATTTGAGCCGCCTTTTTCAACCGCTGACTTTGTCAAGTTGGCAACTTTAATTTTATTCATGTGCGATGTGTGAAAGTGTGTTGTCAAAAGTTGACTGTAAATTGTTGTGTTTTGCCCATTTTCTCACCGTGTATTGTTAATTTAGTAACATTGAGATATTTGCAAAGTGTATAGAAGCGTTTGGAGGGCTGTCATGTCGACAAAAAAGCCGCTAGTAGCGTTCGTTCTCGGTGGACCTGGTGCAGGCAAGGGAACTCAGTGTGAGAAAATTGTTGAGGTACTATACTTTAGTTATATTGATAAACAATTTAGTATTTTTGGATGAGATAATACTTTGTTAGATAATACTTTCCGAGACCTTGATAATTCCAGATATCATGAAAACCGAATTCAATATAAACTGTTTTATTACATATTTTACAAAAAATGTTGCATTCTCATTGGACACCTTCGACAAACAATGATTTGCAACAAAAGAACGTTTATACAGTACCTTCATGTACTAAAGTTCCCATAAGGAATATACAAAAATAAAGTCTGCTTTTTGCACAAAGAAATTCACAAAAACACCACTTGTTCATGTCGTTTTAAAATAAATATAGTGTTTGCCACTTAATTGTCACTTGTGAAATCAAACTATTAGGCCAAGTAAAAAAAACTTATGTTTCTCGTACGGATTTCTGCCAAAAAGCAGGGAAGCGGGGTATTTTTTTTTTTTTTTCTTAGCTGAAGTAATAAGCTTTCATACAGTTTACTAAGAAAAATACACGCAATATTAAAAATGTGAATTATAAAAGGCTTTTAATTAAAGTAACTTTTTTAATGTCTCGTAATGTACCGATCAATTCGAAACTTCATCATCCCCCCCCCCCCCACTTCAAGTCTTCTCCAGGGATAGGGAATTTGACGTTCTAGGTCTTCCATGTGGTGGGGAATTTCAACTGGAAGTCTTGAAATTTTGCCCGTTTTCGTGTGCTTTCTGCATGTACGGAAAATACTTCGCATTGGCGGCAAATACAGTTTTCTCAGATTTCGAGGGAAACGGCCTCAATTTTGTGAAAAACTGGCTCAAAGAAATGGGCATGGAAACTCTATGTGCTTCATTTGAAGGTATGTACTACATAATTGTGTAAAACTGTTAAATTTCCACAAGGTATCCAAACTTTTACGTGAATTTCGCTATCTTGTTGAAAAACATTTCCGTATATTTTGTACTTTTTGTATTTACTATTTCATAATTTTCATATGAAGGTGGGGCATTTGAATGCTTAATTTCTTGTTACAGTGGGGCATTTGAAGACATTTTTTGCACAGGGGGTGGAGAATTTGATCAGTCAAATTTCAAAAAGTTCAAATTCCCGGGGGGGGGATGGTGAAGTTTCGAATTGATCGATACATAACATATTAAATTTGAACAGCGTTGAATTTGGTCAGCGGATAAGATTTTGAATGAGCCCGCAGTAGTTCCAGATTAATACTTCAAGTTAGCTTCAAGTTATCAAAAAAGAAAGTTAAAAAACATGAAGCTAAATTTGTAGAGGAAAACCAGCAACAAAAAAAAGGAAGCGGCCAAGAAAAAGGAAGCGGGCGGGGACGAGAAACATATATATTTTTTACTTGGCCTTAGGGGCCGTCGACAAATAGATTTCGTCCACCGATCGCGGACTTGTTCCGCGATGGGGGGAGGGGGTCAGACTTGAATCTGTGAGTACAAAATAATCAGGACAAAAACTTACTTTTCTGGCAAAAAATTATTGGATTGGTCCGCGATGGGGGAGGGGGGAGATGTTTGAAGCAATCGCGGACAGCAGACCCTTATTTTCACCACAAAGGCAAATCAGGCTATTGGCCAATCAGAGGACACATAGTGACTACAATGCACAATAATATTTGTTAATGTTTAATTTAATATAGAGTAATATATGACCATGATATCCATATATCATATTGTTATATACTGCTTGCCAGTGGCAAAGCTAGCCAATTATAGAGTGGATCGGTATACCGGATATATCGGTATTTGTTTAGATACCAGTATTGGCGATATTGACAATTTAAAAATACCAATATCATATACCGACATTTCGGTATTTTGCTGCCTAATACCGAATTGAAACGCTATTTCAAGTCAAACTTGCTTACAATCACATTTAGAAAGCAAAGTTAATTACTATTACTGTAGTAGATTTACATCAATCACCTTGTAGTACTGAATGATTCAATACTTCGACGCCCAATCGACAGCCTACTAATAATTGCTGCTTAGCGCCGTTAACATAGCTTGATAATGCGAATCTTGTGACATTTGCACTAATAACAGTATGTGCCACATTAATATTTTGTCAAAACTTGATTTTTCTCGATGGTCCAGGGCGCGAAATAACGGCCGGTCAACGGACAATGTCCGGCCAGAATGCGGAGTTGTCGGGTCAAATTCTTACCTTGTCGGTCATTTTGACCGGTCACTTTCGGTAAAAGAACAAACTAATCTTCATTTTATAATAATGATCAAAATAAAGTGGTCAAGTACAGTATTATAATTAAGAACCATAACATGCATGTGGTCGAATATTTTGCAGGAAAACAACTTCGATGTACACCAGATTTCGCACGCAGTACGTCACAAAGCCCATGGGCCATGACCATGCCTTTGGCTTAAGAGCTAAGACCATGCTATTAGCCCAGTACAAGCCGTTTTATGTGAAGGAATTTTTAATTACTGATTACAGTAAGGCTTTTTGTACTGCTATACTGGGAAAATGGTAACATTTTTAGGGGTATACTTTACTAGGCTTTGCATTAAGCTGAATAATTTGACCGGCCAGAAATTTGGTATGTCCGATCTAAAATTGAGTTGGCCGGTAACCTTGACCACCGACCCTCCAGCCGTTATTTCGCGCCCTGACGGTCAGCAGTTCAGTTTGGCTTAAAAAAAAACACGTTAAAAATACCGGTATTCTGATGGCGGTATATCGGGATTTGCGATATCGATCCACTCTACCCAATTATAGCAACTGGTCATGCTATTCTAATAAAAATTCATATAGATCTAGTAAATAGATTAGAACATTTTTTGTGCTGTGTACTACAATGCACACCAATTTTTTTCAGTCACTCCAACCAATCAAAATTCAAAATGTTTGATAATCTTACTCACTCAAATTTGTAATTGAGTGACTGACGAGTATGTTCAACCTATGAAGGTAAACCAATTAAAATGGCTGACTAAAGTCGTACTGTACAATGTCAATGTGCACTAGAGGTTTATATAACTTTCCTCCACTATTGACATTCAAGGCCAGGTTACATATGACACACTTTTAAGTGCACAACATGCAACACGAATACTAACATAAAACTATGTAATGCAAAAAATATGTTTTTAAAAACATTACTGTTGTGTTTATATTATAACCTCAAATCGAACACACGATCTAAGGACACTACATCCCTCCCCTTCTTTATAAAATGTTTTTTCTTTTAAATCTAAAATATTAGTTAACGATTATCAGTTCGTAGTTGTCAATAAACCAAAATGGTGCCACGTTTCAAAATGTATATATTGTTGCGTTCGCATAACCATAGCATTCCGGCTGTCTTGGTTATCGAGAGGATCTCCTCAGTGGTGGCGAAGGCGGTTGTGAAGGTTGGGTGGTTGTTTTAGGTGGGTTGTCTTCGTCGTCGGAAGTTTCGAGATGAACAGGGAGATGGGGTATTTTCTTAAAGAAGGAGGAATTGCGCGTTACTGTTCTGAGCTTGTTTCCTGCGGTAATCATCGAATCCTTAACTGCTACAACTTGGCACGATTTCGTTTGTCGCTGTATGATTTCATGGTTGATTTGTTCTTTTCGTCTCGACTACGTATCTCCTCATCTTTCTCGGAGTTGCTTGGTGTTGATGGGGAATCTGGAAGGTGAGTTTTTAGCTTTCGGTTATTTAGTGCTTCGCTAGGGGATACGGAGATGGTGCTATGTGGTGTGGCACGATACTGGCGAAGGAAGGTATACATGACTTGTTTCCAGTTCCGACCTTCAACTGTGGCAGCTCGAATTGCTTTCTCAATAGTTTTCATGAAGCGTTCAGCTTCGCCGTTGGCTCTTGGCCAGTATGGGGTTATCTTACGGTGCTTAAAACCGAGGTGGTTGGCAAAGTTCTCAAACTCTTCACCATTAAATGGAGGGCCATTATCTGACTTGAGAATCTCAGGGATGCCTTATCTGGAGGGTAACCGGTCGTTTCGCCAACGAGTCGTTTCGCCAACTGTTAGTTCGCCAACGTCTCAGGTCGATTCGCCAACGTTTCCTCATGTTCTTATGTCAGTTCGCCAACGCAACGTTTTTAATCATGGATTGTAAAATAAACAATCCATGGTTTACAATTATTTTACAATCCATGGTCATTTAATAGTTCACGTCTTTATAATGTGAAACCATGTAATGAACATTTGGGTTTTCCAATCAGATTTCCATACACACACCTTGGTATCATAGTTTGACCTACAACCTCAAGATCATGAACCCAACCTAACCATTGCTTCAAATATTTTCCTTTTAGTTCAGAATCCCAATCTACTTTGTCTTGTCCAAACACATGCAGTGCTTGAAACAACATCTTAATACTTACTACCATTGGGCTAAGAATTCCCAATGGCTCAAACAACCCAGCTAATATTCTAAGAATATTGCGTTTGGTAACAGGTTGCGATTTTGCTTTCTCAACTAAACCCTGAAACAAAAACTGAAACTCATCAGTTGTACAATTCCAAGCCAGCCCAAGTACTTTCTCTGATGTGTCATTCTTGCCTGTCATGCAAAGGGATGACTTAGCAAATGTTTCTTCACATGCCAAGTTTCCTCTTTCAGGCTTGATTTCTTCCTTTGATTGGATTTTCTCTAATACAAGTTTACTATTACTGAGCCATTTCCTAAGCTTGAACCACCCAGAAGCTAAACTGTTACTAGAAGGCTCATATAATGATAATGCATGCTCAGGGGTTTGTTCTCTAGTTACTAGGTCATCAACATAAAAGCTGTCCTTCAACTTTCGAGTCAATTCAGGATTACCCTTGGAAAAGCGGTCAAGATGGTGTTGAAGTGTGGCGCCAATTCAGCAAAAAAGGTGAACAGTTCACCAAAAACAACTCTACAAAATCTATACTCTACTGGCTTCACCTCATCTTCATGTATGTTGCCCACCCAAAGAAACCTCAAACAATCTCTGTCACACGGATCAATTTCAATATTTAAAAAAGTCTTCTCTATATCTGCTACAAGCGCTATTCGCTTTTCTCTAAAACGCAATAAAATGTGATACAACAACGGGGATAAAGGTGGCCCAACATGCAAGTAGTCATTTAAAGATACACCCTTCTTAATATCTTTACTCGATGCATCATACACAACCCTGACCTTAGTGGTCTTTGCATCTTTACGAACCACAGCATGATGTGGTAGATAATGGATCTTATCAGCTCTCTCTAACTCTACAACTGGTACGTTCTATAACACCTAGCTCTAATTGTTCTTTAATTACTCTGTCATACTCATGTAAAACTTCTGGCTCCTTCTTTAATCTTAAAAGCTGTGCCTTTAATCTCTGCACACTACAGCTATAATTAGTTGGCAATAAACTATGCCCTTCCTTCCAAGGTAAACTTACACTATATCGATTTGTCGCCAGATTTATGATTTGGAGAGATTCTTGCAGTCTTAAGATCATCAGGGAAAATGTTTGAGTGAAGAATTAAAAATAAATACTAAAAAAGGCGCCACGGCATCACTCGCATCTTTCAAAAGTTTTACTGGGATATTATCATGTCCAGTTGACTTAGACGTCTTTAGTTTCTCAAGTGCATTTAACACTTCATGGATATTAAAGTTTTTGAAATTGAACTTATGTTGAGTTTTAAACTTCATATAACATTTAAAATCGGCATTAGTTTCTGTGATCTGGTTCGACAGATTTGGTCCTATATCAGTAAAATATTCATTGAACAAATCGGGTATAGTTTCACTTTCAATAATAACCTGCTCGTCTATTTGAAGTACTGATATATTCGTTGATCTAGAGCAGGGCCGTACACAGCGGGAGGGGGCAAGGGGGCAACTGCCCCCCATAGAAAACTATATTTACGATTTTTAGAACGTCATTATTTATTCTTTATATTAGATATTTGGGACTTTTTTCGGCATATACGCCTTACGCCCCCCTGGTGGAAAAATCCTGCGTACGGCCCTGATCTAGACTTTTTTATCGTCAGGCAATTTAATCGCTAATTTCCGTCTAGTCATGTTATTACTTATAATAACACGTAATATACAATGTTTTGTAATATCAGTTTTAAATGTATGCGTTTGTTTTTACGTAATGGACCGCCGGTTCATCACGGGAAAGTAATGGACCGCTGAAAGTGCTTCTCAGCCAATCACAATCCGCCAGTTCACAGGAAGTGATGCTTGCCATATAATAAGATACTTTACTTCCCGTCACCCCTGGCGCGCATTAATTAAAAGCTGGAATTGCCTATTAATATTATGGCGTCAATACAATCCTCATTAGCGTCCCTATTACCTAATAACAAAAATTTTGATCTCAACAAGTGTAGACAAAAATTTTCACAGTTTGAAAGAGCATTACAAAATTAGTAATATTCCGAAGTTTCGTTGCAAAATGTTGTAACATGCGGATAATATAACCCTGTGAAGTTTGCCGTTTTTTCAGTCATTTTGTATTACGCACGGGAAATTGATGCCGTTTTCTGAAAAAAAGGTACCACTTTCCCGCGCGTATACAAATTAATTAATACAAATTCGCAAATTTCGCAGGGCTATATTTTCCGCATTTTACAACATTTCGCGGCCAAACTTTGCATTTTTACTAATTTTAACATGCTCCTTCTATCTGTAGTGATGGATTTTATTTTTCTTGCCCAGATCAAAATTTAGTCTTTTCGAGTATATAGCTGGAATTACCTGGAATTGCCCATTGTAATTCAGTCGCCTGAGTTTCCAAACCATGGCAAGCGAACGTATGTTTGATGACTCTATTATTATTGAAGACTATTTCGCTTCGCCTTTAAAATCAGGGCATGAAAACCCAACAACAACAACGGAGAATATTAACCTTGTTTGTCTCTGCAACGAATTCTCTTGGGAGGGAACCGGCTTAAGGCCCTGTCACACTATTGCGTATCGTACTAGCGTATGCCAGCGTATGAAAAATATCACTCATACGCCAACGCCGGTATACACTGACGTACGCTAAGGGTACGTTAGGCATAGGTGCATGGTATACGTTTCAAGCACGGTCGCATACGATCATACGCTTCTCATACGTTTCTCTCATACGCAATAGTGTGACAGGGCTTTAGACGGATTGAAGGCATTTATACAAAATGACTTAGAGCTTGAAGGAAATTGGCCATCGCCCGGCGGCGACGTGAAAGTTTATACAGGTCCTAAATACACCATAAAGACCATAAAGTGGCATGGAAGATCTAAAAAGAAGCTTAGGATCGTTCGCGATGATAGTGACCAAAACTTACGTAAGAAATTAAAGGACCAATCCATTAACTAACTTATAAAGAGAAACCGTATGACGAGCTACAAAGACAACCCGAAGGAAATATGGCGCCAACAAAAAGTAAAAAACTAGATTCGTCAAGAGATACCTGTCTTGAGATATCTTCCCACATCACGAAACAGCGAGAGGGGGAAAATAATGTGATTAAAGCGAGGCCATCTGATGAAAACGGACATAAAACCTGTGATTTTCAGTGTTTTTGTAGGGAGCTTGCAGATCAAGTCAAGCGTATCGAAGGAGACATAAAATTACTTAAGAATGGAGTGAAAACTCACAGGCCTTAAAATATCGGTCGGTCACGGACATTGTCCGACCCATTCGTGAAATTGTCCGACGTAGAAAGGAAACCACCGGACATTCTGTCCGACCAAAGTGAAACTGAGGTTTATTGTTTGTCCGACCCGAGTGTAGTGGTGTCCGACCGAACTGTAGCTTTGTCCGACGTAAATCAAAATGTACCCTAGCCCAGGACTAGAAGCTTGTATGTTAAATGGAAAATCAGAGTACTATTGTATGAAAGGTCAACTGGAAATGTTGTTTTAACGTAGTCGAGCGCGGGGCGGCGAGCGAAATGGTGAAGTGGAAAACGGGCTTAAGTTGTCGAAGTCTTTTTTAATACTGCTGTTCTGGAAAGCAAGTTAATTTTGGCTTGGAAATAAGTGTGAAAGAAACAAATTATTTACTATCTTTACAACATTTACCGTTTATTCATTTGTGTCATTCAGACTTATTTCCGAGTCAAAACTGAACTGAAGGTCATCGGACATATGTCCGACCCAAACTCGACGTCACCGGACATTTTGTCAGACGGCCCTGTAAAAGATATTTTAAGGCCTGAACTCACGAGGCGAACGAAACACTACAATGTTGTATGGGCGCTTGCAGAAACGAAGAGACTCGTCTGAGAGATTACCTATAGAGGCAGCAAACGCCACCATAAAAGACGTAACGGCAAAAGTCCAGAATCTCGAAAGCGAAAAGTCCAGCCGTTATTAACAATAATTAAAATAATTCAGGAATATAATTCCCAACGGACGAATAATTATGCATACTGAGAAAGATCCCCATAAAAATCCGTGGGTTGAAGTAAAAAATAATAAGAAAAAGAAACATAAACAAAATGCGAACCAGAAAGAGAAACAAAATGAACCGCCAATAAGATCTGATGCTGAGAAATTAGTTGCTAAAACTGAAACGTAGATATGCGGCAAGAAACCCGAAGCGCACCACCAAAGATAGCTGGACCAAGCGACAGACCAAAAATGATGAGAACCTCGACCTTGAGGGAAGCCATCCAGGCACTAAGCCAACAAGAGTAATAGTGGCGGGTGACTCCTTGGTTAAACATGTCAACGGTTATAAGATGTCAACGAAAAGCACAAAAATTCAAGTATCTGCCTTGAGATAGATAGATAGATAGATAGTGTATTTAAAATTCACCTTGCAGCTGACAGCTGAATTGCGTGATTTACAAGAGTGTATAAAACATTATTTAAAAGATAGAATATGGGTTAATTAGGCATATTTACAAATGGTCATTAAAACGCTTAGTACTAAAAATTACATTAACTTAAGTTACTAGACATAGGAACAAAAGTTTTTTAAAATCTTTCTGTATTAGTTTCGAATCGTTCAAAGAGTCTATTGTTCCTAAGTTGGTAAACCGACTCATGTTTGGGAGGCAGTAAATTATGCAGTTTGTGTGTCGGATTGTAGTTAGTAATATTTGTGAAAAGTTTGTTACACATTTCTTCGCGTCTTTGGAACAAAGTTTGAAGATTAAATATTCTAAAGTTTCGCTATATGGGTTCGCGGGTAAAATGATCTTCAGTGATCGCTTTTGTACCGTCTCCCGTTCCCCGGAAGTACCACGTTAGACGCTTAAATATGACAGATTATATAAAACCGATATTAAGAAAGAAACCCGATAAGCTTAATATCCATGTCGGCACAAATTGCCTAAAATGTCGTGAAAACTCGGAGCGCTGCGCGGAAGAGATTATTAAATTGGGCGAATCAGTAAAAAAATCCATACAGAGGTGGCAATCTCGAGCTTAATAACACGATCTGACGACGAGTTCCTAACACGCAAAGTCAGCGATGTTAATAAAGTCCTCAAACAAACCTGCATTCAGAAACATTGGAAATATATCGATCACACGAGCATTACACCCAAGGATTTAAACCAAAGTAGTATCCATCTAAATAAAATGGGAACAATCAAGATGGCACGCAATTTTACTGATTTTATTTATAATAGGAAACATTAGGACAACGCCGTGTGGGAGCCTGTAGCTAATACTGAAATACAGCCAAGTATAGAAGACTTGGGTGAGTCAAACGAATCAATTGGGTGAGTCAAACGAGACACGACTAGACCTGAGTATTTCTGATGGCCTCATTCATTTAGATGGTTATGAAGTTGTTAGAAAAGATCGTTCCCGCAATGGAGGCGGAGTTTGTATATACCTTCGTAGCTCCATCAACTATAAAATAAGGTCAGATCTCGTTACCCCTGAATTGGAGGCCGTTTGTTTAGAAATTACTAAACCAAAGTAAACCATTTATTGTCACTACAATTTACAGACCGCCAAATGCAACTGCTGAATTTTTTGACCATTTGGAAAAACTTATTAAACAAATTGATGATGAGAATAAAGAAATGTACATTTTAGGTGACCTAAATTGCAATTTGTTAGAGGAAAAAAATCTTTTCAGTAGCCAACAAATAAACTATATTCAATATACGAATTATACCAACTATCCCAGTTGATAAATGAACCAACTCGAGTTACTATGAGGTCATCTAGCCTTATTGACCATGTAGTTACGAATACACCTGAGAAAATTTCACACTCTGGTGACAAATACACTGGAATAAGTGATCACAGTTTAGTCTATGCAATCAGAAAAATTGGAGTTTTTCATAAAGCTAATGATTTTGTTGAAATTAGAAATATGAAAAACTTCAATGAAAAGAATTTTATGGATGAGTTTCTTAATCAACATTGGGAATACATTTACTTTTTCGGTAAAAATCCAAATGCCATGTGGGAATTATGGAAAGAACTTTTTCTAGAAGTTCTGAACAAACATGCTCTATTACAACACAAAAAAACTAAGTCTAGTAAAGTGGCTTGGATAACGAACAACATTAAGGGTCTCATAAATACAAGAGGCAAACTGAAAAGAAAAGCAATTATCACAAAGTTAGAGACTGATTGGTCAAACTACAAAAAAGTTAGAAATCAAGTCAACATTGAACTAAGAAATGCCAAAAAGAATTATTATTCCTCAAAACTTGCTGATCAAAAATGTAACCCAAAGAAAGCATGGAAGTCAATTAATAATTTGCTTGGCAAACAAAACAAACATTCAAAAGTAAATGAACTCAAATTAGGAGAGAATGTTCTAAACAATCCAAAAGATAGCAACATAAAACGCTCACTGAGTTTCCAGCGATATACATACCCTTTTCTAGATATATACCTATATAATAATAATAAACGAACGAACGAATGTATTCCTTCCACTCGTGAGCTCATTTACCATTGTCACATATGGTAAATGAGGGTCACAAGGCCTGGACATTTACCATATGTGACAATGGTAAATGAGCTCACGAGTGGAAGGAATACATTCGTTCGTTCGTTTATTATTATTAGGTATATATCTAGAAAAGGGTATGTATATCGCTGGAAACTCAGTGAGCGTTTTATGTTGTTATTTTATTTCCTGAGTACGGGTCTTCGACCAATTTCATATTGTTAATCCAAAAGATATTGCAGAGGGCTTTAACAGCTATTTTTCAAACATTGGCCCAGATCTAGCGAGCCAAATTCACACAACAAATTGCAATTTTGAGTCGTATATCAAAAAGGCTAAATCAGAATTTGCTGCATTCCAACCTACAAATGTTAATAATGTATACCAGTTGCTCAGCGCATTATCTAGCAACAAAGCAACTGGCATTGACAAAATATCGTGTAAAATTATTAAAATAGCTGCACCTGCCATTGCAGATTCACTTACATATATTTTTAATCAAGCTATTACTTTATCCTCCTTTCCTGATGACTGGAAAATGGCAAGATTAATACCTCTCTACAAAAATGGCCATCGAAATATTCCTGGCAATTATAGATCCATTTCAATTCTACCAACTATAAGCAAAATAATGGAGCGAATTTTATACAATCAACTTTATGATTATTTAACTGAATTTAGACTACTCAGTAATAATCAATTTGGTTTCCGAAAATCTCATTCTACAGCAACAGCTCTTTTAGATTGTACAAACGAGTGGTATGTGAATATAGATAAGAAAATGCTTAACCTCGTAGTTTTTATAGACCTAAAAAAAGCATTTGATACTGTCAACCATGACATTTTACTGAAAAAGCTGGAATTTTATGGAATAACAGGTCAAGCCCATGACTTATTAAAATCATATCTTTCAAACCGACACCAAAAGTGTCAAATAGACAATTTTATTTCATCAGAACATTTGATTAAATGTGGTGTACGACAAGGTTCTATTTTGGGGCCATTACTGTTCTTGTTGTATATCAACGACTTACCCGAGTGTCTAAAAAATACAAGACCTCGGTTATTCGCTGATGACACAAACATCACAGCCACTAGTCACACCATAGCTGATATTGAGACTGCAGCAAATTCTGATCTGGAAAACCTCAAAAACTGGTTAATAGCCAATCAACTTAGCTTGAATGTAGCTAAAACTGAATTTATGTTGATTGGGTCTCCACAAATGATAAGGAATGCCTCTAATGCTCAACCAAATATCCTAATTGAAAACAAACAAATCCAACAAGCAAACAAAGCCAAAACTCTAGGAATAATTATTGATCAGCATTTATCTTGGAAACCCAATACAGAAAATATTTGCAAAAAAATAACATCAGGAATCTCAGCTCTACGTCGTGTCAAACCATTTATTGCTGAAAGAGATACGCTCACTTCCATATACAATGCCATCGTACGTCCCTACTTCGACTATTGTTCAGAAGTTTGGGATGTATTGGGTGAAATACAATCAAAACGACTACAAAAGCTCCAAAACAGAGCTGCCCGAATAATTTCAAATATGAGCAATGATGTAGATCACTCTATTGCTTTGTGTGCCTTGGGCTGGGAGCCACTTGATATTATGAGGAAAAAGGCAAAAGCAAAAATGATGTACAAAACTCTAAATAAAACAGGCCCTGAATCTCTCACAAACCTCTTTCGTTATAAAAATGAGATAACAGATTATAATCTTCGAAATATTTCATCTGGTCTTTGTCTACCACAACCACGCACCAATAGCATGAAAAATAATTTCATGTATGACGCTGCTAAACTATGGAACTCTATCCCAAATGAAATCAGGGAAAGTCAATCCCTGTCAAGCTTTCAAAAGAAAATTGCTGCTCATATTTTCTAAGACTACTTGTTCTACTACTTGTAAATAATTATTCTACCATTCCTACTATCTAGCTAATTTGTACTTGTTACTATACCTCATATTTGTAAATAACTATATTTATGTAATATTTCGCTTAAACTACTGTAATTTTTCTTATGCATGACACGCCCCCTATGGAAATCAGCTTCGGTTGATAGGGTTAGCGTGGGTAAATAAAGTTTTTCTATCTATCTATCTATCTATCTATCTATCTATCTATCTATCTATCTATCTATCTATCTAAATTATCCAAATATCTCATTATATAATTTAGAAAAAATACCATTTCATCGGGGCATGTCTATGGCATGTTTGAATATAAATAGTTTATTTGCCAATATAGATGAATTACGAGTAATAATAAAGTAGACGTATTATGTATTAATGAGACCAAACTTGATTCATCAATTAATGACAATGAAATCCATATACCAAATTTTGAAATCATTCGAAGAGATCGACGTACAAATGGCCGTTGTCACAGAAGATTCGCCCCCCCCCCCAGGAGATTCGCCCCCCTCTCAAAAGGGGGGCGATATTCCTAGGATATTCGCCCCCCCCCCGGGGCGAATCTTCTAGGAATATGGCCCCCCCAGGGGGAGAATCTCTAGGAATATCGCCCCCCTTTAGGAATTTCGCCCCCCCATATAAATTTTGAATATTTGATCTAAAAACAAAACGATTGCAACTTGAAAAGATTTATTGTGTGATTTTTATTACAAGGAGACAAAATTACATACACATTTTAGGCTTCTTAGCGGCATAACCGCTCATTTGAGGTACTTACACTAGTGTCATATTCTACACATCTAAAGTGGAACCATTGCCCACAGAGATCGCATAAAATCATGTTGTCGCATTCTTCTGGCAGTTTACATTCACATAACCGATATTATAAAAACAATCGCTTGCAAATTATATCAATACCAGTGTTAACAATAGCCGCCACAGTAATCACTTGCTAACAATACACTATAGGATTAATAAAAAATCCGAATGGAATGTATTGGGAAGCGTATTGACTATTGTCCATTGAATCGTCAACTTTCCATGTCAGTGTCGTGTCAGTGATGTAATCGTGATTCTTGACTTTCGCAAAGAAAATTGCATTATATATATGTGCTGTGGTTTATTCAAATAATTTCATGATACTTTGATTTTATTAGTGAGGGTGGGAAAGGGGGGGGGTATTGATTACGTTTCACAACGCCAGGAACTTCGTCTTCAGCGCCAGGAACCTCGTTCTCAGCGCCAGGAACCTCGCGAAAGGCCTCCGAAGTTTTTACTCTTGTGCAATCGAGTGAGATCATATAAATTTGATTATCGCGTATCATGTTTATTATAATAATCACTATAATAATCACAGTTCACGAAACAGGCATCCTTAATTCTCATTTCACGGACCATTTTTATCACCAATCACGCCTCACGACTGTGGAACAAATCACATTTCACGACACTAAAATCAAGCATTTCACATTTCACGCGAACAAATTTTGACCATTCACGGCTCACGAAAATACCCTTTCCCACCCTCATTAGTGCCTTAAACATTTGAGAATGTAACTCTGCAAAACTAAAAGCTTTTTTGTCTTTTTTGAAACGTATATTATTGGAGTATTGCCTATTGACGAAACTAGATTAGATAGTAGCGTACTAAACGGTGAAATTGAAATTCCTGGTTATGATATTGTTAGGCGTGATCGAAACAGAAGCGGAGGAGGTGTTGCAATGTATATTAGAAGCAACATACCATACACCATTCGCAAAGACCTCTTCCCTGATAATTTAGAGTTGATTTGCGTAGAAATTAAAAAATTTAAAGTAAACCTCAGTTAATTACAACATGGTACAGACCACCAAATTCCAGCGTTGAGCTGTTTAGCGAATTTGAAAATTTTTTAAAACTACTTGAGGACGAAAATAAAGAAATTATCATAACCGGAGATCTCAATTGTAACATTCTTGAGCAGAACAAAAGTTTGCCTACTTCTAAACTAGTTGACCTGATTGACATTTATCAATTACAGCAACACATACAGTGTCCCACGAGAATTACTAGTACAACAGCATCACTACTGGATGTTGATCCTCACTTATTATGGTGATGATAAAATATTAGATACAGGAGTAATACACCTTGGTATCAGTGATCATAGTCTTGTTTATCTGTGTCGAAAGCTCAGCATTCCTAAGGCGCCACCAAAAACTGTCTTTACTAGACATTATAAAAATTATAATGTTAACCAGTTTAACAACGATCTAGCTAAGTGAGGTTTTTAGTTTGCCCTTGGATTCAGCTATTTTAACTGACCCAAATGCCTTATGGAACGATTTTAAAAATAAGTTTTTGAGCGTCGCAGATAAACATGCACCAATCAGACAACGTCGTGTCAAGAGTGAATATAAACCGTGGCTGACAAATGAAATTAAGCAAATGAGCTATCGTAGGGATTACCTTAAAAAGCAATCGATTAAATTAAGATCTGCGTATTATGATAAGGCTTACAAGAGGTGTAAAAACAAGTTAAATAATCTCATAAAAGAAACTAAACAAGAATACTTTAGAGATAAACTAAGCAATGCTAAAAATAGCAAAGAAAGTTGGCGAACTATTAACGAATTATTAAACAAAAAGCCTAAAACTTCAGAGGTTAAAGAATTAGATATAAATGCCCAACTTATTACTGACGATGATAAAATTGCAGATGCCTTCAATCAATATTTTTCCACAATTGGCAGTACGTTGTCTGACAAGATCACAGGTAACTGCACTGATCCAATGAACTTTGTGACTCCTCTTGATGGTAGTATATTCAACTTTACAAGCATTACACTCCAAGAAACAATAGATGCACTCAATGAAATTAAAACTAAGAAATCTCCAGGGCTTGATGGTATTAGTATAAGGTTACTAAAAGATGCATCTAACATTGTGGCAGGACCACTAGTGAACATATTCAATGTATCCCTTCAAAGAGCAATTTTCCCTAATGATTGGAAATTAGCAAAGGTGAACCCCATATTTAAAGAAGGAAATAAGGCAGACTGTGAAAATTATAGGCCAATATCTGTTATTTCAGCTGTAGCTAAACTTTTCGAAAAACTGGTATACCTGCAGCTAAGTTCATTCTTGAGGTTGAATGGCATTCTTGTGGAACAGCAGTCTGGCTTCCGTCATCAACATTCTACTGAAACTGCACTGCTTAGTTCTACAAATGAATGGTTGTTCAATATGGACAGAGGTTTACTTAGCGGAGTTTTATTTCTAGACCTTAAAAAAGCTTTTGATACTGTCGACCATCATATTCTTTTATCAAAGCTTGAATTATATGGTATTAAAGGAACTAGCCTGAAATGGTTCGAATCATACGTTTCTGGTCGAAGCCAAATATGCTCTGTGAATAGCAAGATGTCAGCTGTTAGACAAATAAAATGCGGGATACCTCAGGGCTCTAACCTTGGGCCTATTTTATTCCTATTGTACATAAATGATCTTCCTAACTGTTTAGAGACAACTAAAGCAAATCTTTTTGCTGATGACACAAGCCTTTCTTGTGAAGGGTTTAGTCCATATGAAATTGAGATCAAACTTAATAAAGACATTGAAAATGTTCATAGGTGGTTGACAGCTAACAAGCTCTCATTAAATATGAAAAAGAGTGAATTTATGATAATAGGATCAAGACGTCGCTTAGCTTCAATTGAAAATAGCCCAGTACTAACATTAGGGGGAAACAACATTAAGCGAGTTTACCAAAAAAAGTCACTAGGCATCCTTGATCCTTGATCCTTGACGACCAGCTAAAATGGAATAAACATAATGAAATGCAATGTAAAACAATTTCAAATAATATCGCCCTGCTGAAAAGAGCAAAATTGTCTGTCAATAGAGATAGTCTGATAAAAATCTATAATGCCTTAGTGTGGCCTCATTTCAATTATTGTTCAACAATCTGGAATGATGGATGTTGTTCGATAATTGATAAATTGTTTATACTGCAGAAGAGAGCAGCGCGTGTGATAACAGGGGACACATACGAGGTTCGTTCCATGCAAACGCTAGATAGTCTTAATTGGCTTCCAATAGAAGAACTTCTAAAACAACGACAGTTAATAATGACATTTAAAGTACTAACTGGTCGATTACCTCGATACCTTGAAAAATTGTTTTCAGTAAGTCAAAATGACAATTACAATCTAAGAAGCAATCAAATTAAATTGAACCTACCCAAACCTAAGACAAATTTTCTCAAACGAAGTTTCTCGTATAGAGCTGCTAAGTCCTGGATTGCGCCATTAGGCATTTATAGAAATACAAGGACAAACCTGTGGACAAACGTAGTGCGAGTGATTTGTGATCGACAACAACACGTATGCGAGCGATTTTTCAACAATAGAATTTCGCTTCATTCTCAAAGGCCATAAATCGCTAGAATGCGGGTGTTTAGTAATACACTTGACATCCGTAAGTAGAATTTCCTACGCTGAATCGAACGGTGTCCCTTTGTCGTCAAACGTATAAACTTTTTATAAACTTGCTGTTTCCATGCGAAATTCCTTGTAAAATTGTTCAATTTTCCCGAATTTTCCTCAAAATGCAGGGCTATTTATGGATAATTTGGGTAAAATTGGCAGGAGCCTTATGGATAATTGGGTGAAAATTAGGCAGCTCATTAATATTCTATTTTGTGGCTATGATTTATTGATTTATTGATTTATTAACTTCAGCCGTCAACAGAAATATACATATGCAAACAGGAAGACGGTTCAGGAACACTAACACAGCGTGAGCCAATTACGTTAGTGACCTGTTACAAAACATCATTATACAAAACTTCACAACTTATAATTTAAATATCAAACAAGAATATAGTATAATCCTTTTTATCCGAAGTAGAGAGACAGCGTAAAAAATTTCGAAATTTGGTAAAACAAAATGACAAAATTGTCAAACAGAATAAATGCGAGAATATATATAGGTTCTGTACCCGTCGATAAGATAAAACGAAAATGGCGAAAAACCCAACTCTACATCGGATAAAATGAGGTATACTACATTGAATAATTGCCAAAATAACTAGTTCAATTAAGAACAACATTTCATTGTTGCAGTAAGCTGCCTGGCTTTATGGCATTTCAGACAAACTGATTTCCACGTCTGCGGATTTTCCTGGTCAAACACGGTTAATGTTGCGGAGTGGTAATAGTTTATAACACGTGATTTAAAGCTCTGCAATGATAGTTCTGGTTTCCGTAGCTCATCTGGTAGGCAGTTCCACACACGCGATACTCGTACAAGATAACTGTTCTGGTGACATAGCGTTCTTACTTTAGGAATGTTATATTTTACAAGAGAGTTATTAGAAGAGCGTAGATTTATGGTTGAAGTCAGAGTGTCAACTTCTTCGGGTAGGATATCAGTTTTAACCAAGCCATATTTGCATTTGAAGAGGAACAGGATATCAAGATATTCGTGCCAGTAACAGAGAGGTAGCATATTCAACGCAGCGAGTCTCGTTTTATATGGCATGTCCGTTTGGAATGGTAAAGACAGTACGAATTTGGTCGCTCTACGTTGTATGCGTTCGAGCTCCATACACATGGTGATAGTCTGTGGACACCACACTTGTGAGGCATAAGCAAGATGGGATCTCACAAGTGTAAGGTAGAGACAGCGTCGGGTATTTACGTTTTTAACTTTGATAGTCGAACGTTTGAGCATACCAAGTAGGCGGTTGGCTTTCGTAACTTGCTCGTAAATATGAGTGTTCCATCTGAGATCTGAACAAACCGTCACTCCGAGGTCTTTCTGGGAGGAAACATGCTGCAAAGTTTTACCGTTGACAATGTATTCAGCAACAAGAGGATGACGTTTTCTCGTAACGCTCAGAACTTTGCATTTTTCGGCGTTGAATTTGAGCCTCCAAAACTCAGCCCATTTCTCCACGTTTCTCGCTTCAGCTTGAAGGACACAGGCGTCAACCGGTGATTCAATAACTGAGATGCATTTTGTGTCGTCGGCAAACAAGGAAACGTCAACAGCGGATGAGGTTATTGATTCGGGAAGGTCGTTTATGTAGATGAGAAACAGGAGTGGTCCGAGTATTGATCCTTGCGGAACGCCGGAGGAAACTGGACGTGTCTCTGAAATCTCACCATTGACTAGTACACGCTGTTGTCGTCCGGATAAATAACTTTTAAACCACGTTAAAATATTGTCCCTAAGTCCAAATCGTTGGAGTTTCTTTAAAAGAAGGCTATGATTCACCGTGTCAAACGCTTTAGCAACATCGAAATACAAGATATCTGTTTGTTTCCCTGAATCCAGGTTTTGGCTGATGCGGTGAAGAACGGAAATGAGCTGACCTGTGCAAGACTTTCCTCTCAGAAAACCATGCTGTGCGACGGATATCATGTTCTCTATATGACCAATCAGACGGTTGTAAACACAACGTTCTAAAACTTTCGCAACAACGCACATGAGGGAAATTGGTCTGTAATTCTCAACAAAACTCTTGATTCCTTTTTTATGAAGCGGGATGATGTTGGACAGTTTCCATTCTGATGGTAGGGAGGCATGCTTTAAGGATTTGTTGAAGAGACATGTTAATGATGGTGTGATGGAGTGCGCACATTCTTTTAGTAAGCGGATTGGTATATTATCTGGACCAGATGCTTTACTAGGATCGAGGCAATGAAGAACGTCATATACTTCACTTGGGTCTAAAATAATGTCAGAAATGGTCTCTTCACATACAGGTGTAGTGGGGATTGAAATATCATCACCTTCTGTTAGAAATACTGAGTGGAAGTAGTCATTGAACATTTCTGCAGCTTGTTTTTGACTAGTGGAATCTAAGCGTGGGGAGTCTTCGTTGCCTGTCGCGACGGAAACTTGCTGTGGAATACGGCTGGATTTAGTGGTTGTTTTAAAAAATGACCAGAACAGTTTCGGATTGGATGGTAGAGCTTCGCTTAGGGAACCAAAGAACTTTTCCCGACTTTCTTTGATTAATCTCTTAGATGTACGGCGGAGATTCTTGTATTTTTGTACAAGTGCAGCAGAATTTGTTCCGCGACGGATTTTTCGCCGTAGTGTTTCTTTCTTTTTGATCAAAGATTTTATCTCACCGGTCAACCATGGTGGATTGTACCTTCCTTTTACAATCTTTGTTGGAATACATTCGTCAGCTACAGCAAGGAAAGTGTCTCTCCATAAATTCCAGTTCTCGTTAATGTCGGACATCGATGTGGGATCGCTAAATTCAAATTCAATCGGTTCAAAAGTACGGTTCATTTTTTCAAAATCCGCACGGTTGTAATCGTAAACCGATCTTTTGAGCTTGTGGGAAGGTGTTGCTGTACTTTGAAACTCAAAGAGTATGCACTTGTGGTCGGAAAACAAATTGAAATTGGTTGGATCAATTACTTCAATGTTGTTAACGTTGTCTGGAATGTTTGTCATGATAAGATCAAGAACGTTAGTTTCTCTTGTTGGAGCGAAGATCAATTGACTTAAGTAATGGTCAGATAAGGTGTTGTAGAAAAATCTCTCGGATTCACCGGTTGGGATAACCATGCTTTCAGACCACGAGATTCGCGGGAAGTTGAAATCACCAGTCATTATAATTTTATCGTAAGTGTCCATAATGTAATCTAAGAACTTTTTAAAGGAGAGAAGCCATTTTGACGAGGAGTCAGGAGCTCTGTAGCAGCAGACAACAAGGATTCGCGCATTGTTAGTGGCGCATTCAACGCAGACGATTTCTAGTTCAGTATCTAATTGATTAAAGCATACTTGCTTGGTTTATGTAAAAGAAGACTCTTTTGTAGCTATTAGTACGCCACCGCCAGTTTTACATTTACGGTCGACACGGAAAACGTTATAATCTTGACGTAAAATTTCTGCATCAAAGTGTTTATCGGACAGCCACGTTTCAGTGAGGAAAACGATGTCTATTTGCTCCGAGTATACAAAATCTTGAAGACTTGAATTATTTGATATCATTTCTCCATCAGTTGTTCTATGTAAACTAAACAAACTTCGCGTATTCCAGCTCAAACAGCGAAATGTCTTACGTTCAGTCGCGATGGTGTTGCTTCGATTATTTACGACGGATGAACCGTGTTCGAGATGCTCAGATGAAATAACTGGACCAGGATTTAATTCCACATCGTTAGCTAAAAGAATTAACAGCAAAGGCAAAGACGATCTCTGTAACAATAACAGACCGTGCACAAAACGATGAACCGAGAGCAAAGTTACATGTCTCTTAACACGACGAAGTCGATAAGAATACGGTGTTCCAAGCATTTTCGTTGAGGCATAGAACAAATTAATCTTGGTTTCTTTCGTATTTTTTATTCCACGTACAACCAACCATAGAAAAACAATAACGTAGATAAATTTTGGGAAAATCATTTCTAATAGGATTAGGAATTGTATTAATTTTGTTCTTATTAATTAGCGCGCGCGCTTAATTAAGCGCGCGTGTTGGCGTGTTCGTTTGCACTCGTGAGATTAACCGTCCGTTTAACCGTCCGATTAACCGTCCGGCTATCGACGATTGGAGATGCCGATCCAAGAATAGACTTGCTCCAAGTCTCTCTTTAGGCCGGTTTACACGACAAGCGTTTTGGGCACGGCACCCCTGAAAATGGGCACCGTGCCAAAACCGCCACTTCGCTATTTACTCGTTTACACGACAACATTTTGTAAACACACTTTTATGATAGGCACCGTGCCCATCGGAAAACGGCACCTCTACTTTCCGCCGTTTACGACGGTATATTTTAAAGAATAAATATGTCGGACAGAAATAGAATTATATATTTATATTTATTGGAACGAAGAAGAGTATTATATGAGCCGAAAATCGAGGGGAAAAACCAGTTCAATACTAGAAAAGTACTTTAAGGCTCATATGGGCAAAAGTTATCCCGGTTAGCGAGAAAACTTTTCGACAAATTTACAAACGAGATCTTGCCTTGGTATGAAAATAATATGAAAAGTTACACTGCGTTCATATGAGACAAAAAGTTTTTCCGTGTACCGAGATCTCGCTTGTTGACAAGCCAGATCTCGGTGACCGGGATAATGTTTTTCCCATATGCATGAACACAACTTTACCGCTTAGCGGGATAACTTTCTGTCGTATCAGCATCTATTCAATTCAATTGATATTCAGTGCGTGCCCATCGGAAAACGGCACCTCTATTTTCCGTTTACGACGGTATATTTTAAAGAATAAATATGCCGGCCAGAAATGGAATTGTATATTTATATTTATTGGAACGAAGAAGAATATTATATGAGCTGAAAATCGAGGGAAAACCCAATTCAATACTAGGAACGTACTTTAAGGGCCAGTTCATATAGGCAAAAGTTATCCTGGTTAGTGAAAAAACTTTTCGAAAAGTTTACAAGCGAGATCTCGCCTTGGTATGAAAATAATATGAAAAGTTTGTTTACACTGCGTTCATATAAGACAAAACGTTTTCCCGTGTACGTACCGAGAGCTCGCTTGTCAAGTGATAATGTTTTTCCCATATGAACACAACTCTAGTTCCCGCTTGGCAGGATAGCTTTCTGTCGTGTCAGTACTGACTTTACAATTCAATTGATATTCAGTGCTATGTCACAGCCGGAAACTTTACCCGGTAAGCGGAATAACATTTCTCCATGCAATTTGTGAACAGAACAAAAGTATATTTGGCTAGTGGAAAAGTTTTCTCGTTAACCGAAATAACCACAGGTCCTTTAAGACGAAAGGAGTTGTTTTCTCGCATAAATGTTGTGGGTATGGACGCATCGAACGACAGCTATTTGCTACGACCTAGTTACTGCTCTCTTCAGCGACGAACAGTACGTGGTATCAAAATTTCCGAGTCAACTAGAGCAACATTCACATTCTGTGTTATTTAAATTTGTTTTTAACCTTTTTTTTTGGCAAGTTGTAGTTTTTCGCCGCTTGCTGCCATGTTGGAAAGAAGACAATTTGTTTTGCGCATGCTCGATGTCGAACACATTTTTATTTTTTTCGAAATTTGGGCACGGCACCCCTTGCTAGACGTGCCGAGACTACCTCGTGAGAAAGTCTCGGCACGTTTAAATTTTGCGGCACCGGTGCCGATTATTGTCACGTTTACACGCCAAAAGGCAGAGGTGCCGTGCCTAAAATTTTGGGCACGGGTGCCCATTTTTAGGGGTGCCGTGCCCAAAACACTGGTCGTGTAAACCGGCCTATTTTGTGGACATCTATATATCCACGGATATATCGTACATATATATTGTACGTTACATGACGTACCGCTGAGGGGGAGAGGAGGAAAGAGAGACTTGTAACATCTGGCAGCAGACATACTTCCGGCTGGTCAATTTCGACCAGCCGGAAGTAGATGGCCGCATTGATTTATCATGTGTTTAGGGGGGGAAGGCGACATCTGGACTTTCAGAGTTATTTGTTTAACATAAGTAATTTTGTATTCACGAGATTTCTTGTAGATTTCACATCACTTTTGACTGCGTGCATTTGGAATTTTGGGCATTATTTTTGCAATTTATTGTAAACAACGATTATAAGAAGAACGGATAAATTTTAAAATACAAATCAGCCGTAATCGTCATAAACCTCGATGACCACCAGTGTTTTTGTGTTTGACAATTTGTATTTCATTAGATATTTATATGCAAGGTCAGTATTAACCGGTTATCATATAAAATGATCATTCTAATGAATTGATAAAACGAATTATATCAAATATGTACGGCCGCGTTTTTTACACGGCCACTACTGAAACGTTTAGCTTGATTGTTGAATAAATCGATGACTTTTGCTTAGTTGCTTTCTGTTTTGAGCTTAACCACCGTTTAAGCTAAACGGGCTTGATACAACTGGCCCCAGATAAACATTTTTGTATTATCGAGCTCGAAACTATAGTAAATTGGAAACCGTGTCAATAATAAAAAACGTACAATAACTTATGAGCTTGCGAAAATTGTCACGCCCAAAATTTATACACATTTTTATTTTGTTAAAAATTTGTGTAAATTTTGGGCGTGACAATTTTCGCATGTTCATTGTACGTTTTTTATTATGACACGGTTTCCAATTTACTATAGTTTCGATCTCGATAATACAAAAATGTTTATGTGGGGCCAGTTGTATCAAGCCCGTTTAGCTTAAACGGTGGTTAAGCTCAAAACAGAAAGCAACTAAGCAAAAGTCATCGATTTATTCAACAATCAAGCTAAACGTTTCAGTAGTGGCCGTGTAAAAAACGCGGCCGTACATATTAGATATGGCGGTTAATACTGACCTTGCATATAAATATCTAATGAAATACAAATTGTCAAACACAAAAACACTGGTGGTCATCGAGGTTTATGACGATTACGGCTGATTTGTATTAATTTATCCGTTCTTCTTATAATCGTTGTTTACAATAAATTGCAAAAATAATGCCCAAAATTCCAAATGCACGCAGTCAAAAGTGATGTGAAATCTACAAGAAATCTCGTGAATACAAAATTACTTACGTTAAACAAATAACTCTGAAAGTCCAGATGTCGCCTTCCCCCCCTAAACACATGATAAGTCAATGCGGCCATCTACTTCCGGCTGGTCGAAATTGACCAGCCGGAAGTATGTCTGCTGCCAGATGTTACAAGTCTCTCTTTCCTCCTCTCCCCCTCAGCGGTACGTCATGTAACGTACAATATATATGTACGATATAAAGATGTCCACAAAGAGAGACTTGGAGCAAGTCTAATCCAAGAACAGAGCCGAAACCTATACTCGTCTGGGGCACAGGGTGCCCCAGCGAGTAATTACAAAATACGACATAATCTACAATCTGAAACTCTCGAAAATCTAGTTGTAGAAATTAAGAAACCACGATGTAAGTCTGTCCTAGTTAGTACATGGTATAGACCTCCTGATTTACCTACTAGTTACTTTGCCGAATTCGAGCAAATGATTGGATCGTTCGATGCTGAAAATTTAGAGTATTTTCTGCTTGGTGATTTAAATGTTGATTTTACCCCAACGACCGAGTCACCGAGCAAGAATAAAGTAAAAGAAATACTTGATATATACGATGTAGAACAATTAATAAACGAACCGACAAGAATTACTGCTACATCTAGCACCGTGATCGATTTATGCCTAACCAATACACCTAAATATTGTGAAGTCTGATGTCATACACGTATCTATTAGTGACCATTCATTAATATATATGATACGTAAGGCTAACTATACAGGGTGTCCCAAAAAAACACGAAAACTATTGAAATCACCAATAGCAATTTAATTGTTAGAATTTGAATGCCTTAGCGCTCTGTTAGTTCCCACGAGTGCATAAATGATTGACATTGACATAAGTAAATTTTATGCATAAAGAAACTGTTTAAGAAGCTGTTTTTAATTCCCAGGAGCAGAAAATCGCGCGCTTTGCCAGGAGATATTGCTAACTAAATTCTAATACATGCACCTTGTCAATATTTTACGCATCATTACGTCCAGCTGTTTGGTAGGGCATTCAAATTTAACAATAAGTGATTTCAATAGTTTTCGTGTTTTTTTTGGGACACCCTGTATACGAGGGTGCCCCAGAACGATAGATGCTAGAACAATGAAGAACTTCAACAGAGAATTGTTTCTAAGCGATCTTGAACTAAACCATTGGGATAGTGACTATTGCTCCCAGGACCCTAACGAAATGTTTGATGTCTGGAAAAAAATGCTCATGAAAACCATAAATAAGCACGCACCACTTACACCCAGGGGAATTAGAAATAGAAAATCTCCCTGGATTACAAAAGATTTAAGACGCCAGATATTTAACCGAGATTACCTAAAAAAGAAAGCTGTTACATCCAATGATCCTAAAATCTGGCATCAATATCGACAAACTCGAAATCACATTAATAATGAAATTTAAAAAACTAAACAAGCTTATTATAAGAATAATCTTGAATCGAATAAAGGCAACATGAAAAAAACATGGAACCTTATAAATGAACTAAGCTCTAGAAATGTAAGCAAAACTAAAAAGATAACACAACTAGATTTTGAAGAGCGAGAAATAAGTGCGCCTGAAGAAATAGCTGAAACATTTAACAGCTACTTCTCAGGTATTGGTGAAAAACTTGCTTCCGATATTCCTGCTCCTGTGCGTGATCCAGTATTTTATCTTAAACCAACAGATAAATCTTTCTCTCTCAAAACTCCCTCCGTTGACACAGTTTATCAACTGCTGACTACATTAGACGATAAGAAGTCAGCTGGTTTGGACAATATACCCAGGGCCGTAGCGAGGGGGGGTATTGGGGGGGGGTGGTTAACCCCCCCAACTTTTGACATATTCCGAAAATGGGATGGCCATTCGGAAAATTACGGCAATAATAGTATATGGTTTTTGTACGAAAATCATGAGATTCAGGCAATTTTTAGCTAATATCTCACTTTTGGTATGTCCGGAAAAATTTTTTGACCCTTAAAATGGTACACTGACCGAAATTTTTTTGGCGACGGGGGGGGGGGAGGGGGGGTCGCCAAGAATTTTCGAATGTTCGGAAATTTTCTTCGTCATTCGGAAATTTTTGGCCTACACCCCCCCAACTGTAAATGCTAGCTACGGCACTGAATATACCAAACAAGTTCTTAAAGATAGCTGCAAGTGTTATTGCACCCTCGTTAACAGGAATATTCACTGCTTTTATTAATACCGGAATATTCCCGTATGAATGGAAGGCAAGCAGAGTAACGCCAGTATTTAAGAGTGGCACAAGTCCTTAGAAATAACCCAGGCAACTATCGGCCTATATCAATTATTCCATGTATTGCTAAAATTTTTGAAAAAATCATTTTCGATCAACTACAGGGTATCTTGATTCAAATAATTTGCTGAACACATGCCAATCTGGATTTCGACCGTTTCATATACAGGGTGTATAAAAAAAAAGTGCACAGATTTGAAATTGCTCTTAAATTCGCAAAACAGCTATTAGTATCCAGTTTTTGATGTATATACCTTCTTTGGGTACTTATAATGTAGAAAAATGGAAAAAATTTCTCGAACTCAAATTGTGTAAACCAGGGGGGGTGTCTTTTCCAACAAACTAAAAATGGCTTGCGCACGATATTTAAAAGCTTTAATCATATTTTGAGTTGATAGATGGAACATTTGTTGGGTTTTTAATTACTGTACAAAATTTCAGACAATTTTCTTTAGTTTAAGCCCCTTTAACTAGTACTATTCATTTTTCTCTAAAAAATTAGCCTTTCGCATGCTTAATTAATGCCTTTACCTAATTTGCATATTGCTGACGTATGATTAAAGCTTTTAAATTTCGTGCGCAAGCCATTTTTAGTTTGTTGGAAAAGACACACACCCCTGGTTCACAAAATTTGAGTTCGAGAAATTTTTTCCATTTTTCTACATTATAGGTACCCAAAGAAGCTATATACATAAAAAACTGGATACTAATAGCTGTTTTTCGAATTTAAGAGCAAATTTCAAATCTGTGCACTTTTTTTTATACACCCTGTATAGTACCCTAACAGCGTTGCTAGAAGCCACGAGCGACTGGCCATGAATATTGACAATGGCCTAATTAACGGAGTTTCATGTATTTATTGATTTAAAGAAAGCTTTTGATACGATCGATTATCAAATTATCCTGCAAAAGCTTAAAAATTATGGTATTGACGAAAACAGTCTTACATTCATATCTCACTGATAGAACTCAAAAGTGCCGGGTAAATGGTCAACTGTCAGATTCTGTGCCAGTGGCCTGCGGTGTCCCTCAAGGTAGCAGTCTAGGACCATTGCTATTCCTCATCTACATTAATGATTTACCGAACTGTCTTAATCATACAACTGCAAGAATGTTCGCAGATGATACAAGTATTAGTTATGCGTCCGACTCAGCCAAAGAGCTCCAAAATGTCATTAACACCGAATTGAAAGGTCTAAGCGATTGGCTAATCACTAATAAACTAAGCTTAAATATTGTAAAAACAGAATTCATGGTAGTTGGATCTAGACAGAGATTAAAAACACTAAATAATGAAATATATTGAGATAAACGGTAATATGGTCAACCAAGTTACTTCGGTAAAATCTCTGGGTGTCCATCTTGATAATCACCTTATGTGGTCTGAGCATACTGATAAACTATGTAAAAAAATTGCTTCAGCCATAGGGGCTTTAAAACGTATAAGATCCTGCATTTCAACGAACACGGCTATCCAAGTATACCAAGCACTGATTCAACCTCATTTTGACTACTGCTGCTCGGTCTGGGATGGAATTACAGAACCGGGCGGTCAGGGTCATTACGAGGTCCAGCTATGACACTAATGCTACTGTGCTTCTTGATAATTTACGCTTGGATAACTTATCGTTGAGACGCAAAAAAATTACTAGAAAAGAACTAATTATCTGAAGCGAAGCTAGCTTTCAGTACAGTGGAGTAGTGCTGTGGAATAGCCTTCCTGAAAATATAAGAATGCTCCAATCGTTTGCTCAGTTCCGGAAAGCTGTAAACAAGTATTATAATAGTTTAGATGAACTCCCACACGGCAATCTTGTAAACCAGTAGATCATATTCTCTTATTTATTTTTGCATGCTTGTATTGTATTGTATCATAAAAAATCGAACATGAAACTGTAATGCAGTAATCGTAATGGAAAGGATTATTTTTACGGTTCACTCAGTTTATTTTCTTTATGCAAGTAATTGATTTTAATTTATGAGTAAAGTGTTTCGTTTCGGTAAAGCGGGGTTAATTAACTATTAATTGACTTTATCCAATCCAAATATGTATAGCATAATATTCTGGGAACGTGATGGTCTGTATGGTCGCATGCAGTATGACATCACGTGGCTGTTTTATTATATATGCAGCATTCTTTGGTATCACCGCACGCCTTGTACAAACATATAGGATACTAGTTTTGGTTAGTTTTACGGTGACCAACAGCAGCGTGTTATTCTAGTATATAAGGCCAGTTGATTTGCTTCATTTCTTTGTTAATTAACTTTGTATGAAGAGGACAAGGTTATAACTGCGGACCAAGTATTTTCACGGAGATTGAACTAACTGAAAACCGGGGGTAAGTTGCTATGACTTGAGCTAAACTAACTTTATTCTTACTGGCTATATATCTATTAGTTCTAACCTGTTCTCGCTCTTACTGTTCTGGGGACCGGATAGCGCTATCCATATCTAGGGATATGGACTTCAAAATATATATAAAAATCCCTGAATCTGGACATATATATTAAAGTTTAATTAAAGTCATGACTCGTTTGGCGAAACTATAATGACCCATCATACACTGGTCACTGTTTGTAACTGACATCCCAAATCTAGCTTCGATGGACTCAAGGTAAAATGTTATTCATTAGAAGGATCATCTCGAATAATGGGGGATTGTATTTGGGGCTGTGCTAGACTTGCTCCAAATCTCTCACGAATTCAATTTTCATGGGATCTATCCAGCTAATTGTGAGGTCAGATTCATGTTTTAATTGGATACACCGCATACAAAATGAAGCCAATTCGAGGGAGACTTCGAGCAAGTCTAGAGCTGTGCATAAGATTCCCTTGCTTATCCCGTCAGTGGCATGTAATATAAGAAGAGTGCTACCAGTGTAACTATACCAAATACCACAGATTTAGTACTAGACCAAACAGTGATGGTTGTTACTTATGTTATTGACATCTTTGGAGAACAGTTTAGAGCTGATAGAGCTATCAAGTTTCTTACTGAAGTTAGCTTAGATTTAGATCTAGACTATATTTCATAACATCTCCACGACTTTGTTTATAACACGGACGCGACTATAAATAGAAATCCGGCTTTTGGAGGAATGTCTGATAGAATACCAGCAACCAAAGATTTACTCAACAGAGAGATTTACATATATAATTTGTGTTCAAACTAAATTGAGAATTTATAATTCGATTAATCTGGCTCTAGTTGGTCTTCTTTAATCCTTTTGTAAATAACTTGATCTCCTTATTAATCCTTGTTTTGTATATGCATGGCAACCGGTACCGGAACCACAGAGAAGAGATATACAGAGAGGAAACTGACACTTGATAACCTCAATTTTTGTGTCACGCGTTCCACGCGCCACGCAAAATTTCCCAGCCAGTGCCGTCGCTGAAATTTCATAGCAAAAGAAAAAACGTCGTTCGGGAAGGGAAAACGTCGTTCGAAAGGTGAAAATCGCTTTTTTTAAAAAAAATATGAAATACCCATGGAAATTTTGTTCAATAAATTATTGTAGAATAACGGTAAGCGATCACTTTTATTGATTTCTTTTTATTAAAAGTGTTAACATAACATTTTATTTTGCAATAGTTTCCCCCCCCCCCCTATCTACTCCTTATTAAAATCGTGAAAGGCACTGGTTGGGAATTTCAGATGCTTATGTATAAAAAACAAAGCAGCAAACAGTGATATAAATTCCTCAAAATATAACTCTCGCATATAAAAAACATGTTTAAATTACTTCAATAATATGTATAGTTTTTTTCCTCTACATTTTGTCAAAATTTAACAAAATAGTGAATTAATATAATTTTATATAGTTATTAGACTGAATATATCGGCGTGCCACAATTTGCCGCGTGTTTTCTCTCTGTATATCTCTTCTCTGTGACCGGAACCTTCGGCGGAGATATTTTCTATTCGTGATATAGAACAGTAGGAAACACTTGACCTTTAGAAAATATTAATAGTAAGGCTAGCCAAAGCTGCCCGTTGTTTTTGAAAAGTAAATAATACACGCAGTGGCGTAGTTGGGGCCTTGACTTTATGGGTATGGGGGAGGCGGTGGGGGGTTCAAGCAAACATAAATTCTAGGGTCTCTAGACTAAAAGCATTTCGCCCATCCTGAGACGAGTTTTGAAGAAAAATATTAACCCCGAAAAACCATGTTTTGTCGTTGTTCCAGACATTGCAGTTTGCTCCTAAATTTTTGTCCAAAGGTTCAAATTTGGTATTTCAAAATATGCAATGGAATGACGAAAGCCAAAAGAACAATTACACATTTTGCCCGATTAGCGCTATTTTTCAGACGGTCTCGATTGTTGTAAACGTATTACTATGCAGTGGATATGTACATTTTCAGACACTGAAATACATTTTACACCAGTTATCCTGTATTGAGCTGAACCAAAATAACTTCGTACATGTTCATCTATTTTCAGAACTACCATATAAACTAATCAAGTCACGTCCAGCTACCAATATTGTAGGCAGCTGATATGAATCAAACATCAGATAAAGAGTTCTCATTCAAGGATAGCCAAATAGTCTGGAACTACATTTTCCTCATGATTTTATTTTTCGCCATTCTGTTAAACAATAGTCTTGTGTTGACAGCCGTATGGAGCCAAAAACGTCTCCAATCCCAGCTGAATGTTATTATCTTGGCTTCCATGGCTTTAGGTAAGATATATTCTGAGGTATAATATAGACATGTCATCATTTAATCAATCTAGTTTACCATGCAAAGTCTCTGGTTTCAGTAAATGAATGAAATCCACAAAGACATTACATTCACGAAGCGGCATTTCGACGCTTCAGCTGTTTATGGCCTTAATCGATCAGGTGTTACCATGATCAAAGCCGTTCCTTGAAAGCGTCGTACATAAATTTGAATTTCAGTATAATTACATCAATCTGAATGATGGTAGTTATCTAAACTACAAAAGCATTTCCACCTTTCCGATAGTGACGTCATCTATCGAACATAAAGAACCACGTTGCGACTTTAGATCTGGATCATCCATGATAAAGTCATAAAGACACATTTGACCGGAATGTCTAACATTCAAGCGATATTCGTTCTAGCCCTGGTCAGTCAACATTGTCCCACATCATAATTTAAAACTCTTCGTATGCTCAGGGAAATGGTTTTCGGCAAGTGATTTGTCTCCATTTGCAAATACCCACGTTGCATTCCGCACTGTTGAAGGACAACAATTATTAAGCAGCAGTAGCACTGAAACCAGCACTTTACTGAATTCATTTGCCGAATGTTCATCGGCAGGATCTGAAATAACGGATTTCATGAAAGCAACTTCTATAAATTAATGTAGCCACCTTAATGAAATATAGTTGTCTCTCTATCTCCCTCTCCAGCTCAACTGATCGGAGGTCTGACGTCCATTCCTACCAACATGGCGCTTGTCCAAGATTTCTCTGAAGATTCGAGATTGAAGTTTTCCGTGGTTGTTACAACATTCTCTGGTGTTGCAACTCAGTTCCATTTAACTACTCTTTGTGTTGAACGTTACCTCAAAGTGGTGGACTCGATTGCACATGGTAACATAAAGCGAGGTAACATACTGATAGATATACTGAGGTCCATTGTAGTGCCGCTCCAATAATGCGTCGAATTATTAAATGCAACAGAATTTGGAACGTCATTGATTTATACACCGCTGCACTCATGTGCAAAACCTAACTCATATATTTTTTTGCGTTTTGTGACAATTGAATTGGTAATCTTGTAATTTTAATTAGTTGTTTGGAATTTCATATAGGATACTCGCGCGAATACGCCCCACCGTTGTCAATAACAAGATCACATCTGATAAAATTAAGTTTGATCAGCGCATGGGTGCTATGTCGGCATATAGGCGTTCGGGAGGGAAAATTGACCAAAAACATTCTCGCTATACTAAAATATTCCCAATATTGACAAAACATTCCTCGTTATTATATTAAACTTCCCAAAATTTGTGTCCACAGGGAGGAGGGATGGGGGAGAGCAGGGGGAGAAATTTTTCAGAAACATATTTTTACTGCCATTTTGAAAACGTAGCACATTTAATTCTATTTCGACTATTTTAATACACACCGCTCTTCCATTTTAATAATTTGGCTGATTTTTAACTACAAACTGTCTAATAAAAAAATGAATGGCCCTCAGTGGACATGTTTGATGTCTTGGTGTCTCACACCGGTCCCTGCTCCACTAATCCCCTTCTCTCATATAAGGAAGAAATTTACTTACTAAGCCTTTTCTCTACTCCTCTTCGCAAAAAAAACCCACAGTTGTACTGTTACATTTATTGACCTGGCTGCGTTTTTCTCTTGCTGAATCAGACTTGCATGGAAGAAATATCATGCCCCCCCCATCCCCAATCAGACGTGCCAGGATGAAATAAGGTCTGGGACTTAACCAATTCAGTGCTAGCACTTTCCCCTTGGCGAGTAAATCATCTGGCGTTAGAGATACCAACATATGTAACATTGTCCCTTAAAGGGGTTAATGCGGCATGGAGGATGTATGATTAGTTCAAGAAAGCAGATATATTTTGGATAGTTTTTCAGGTAGTTTCATATTGTTCTGACACTGCAGAGTGCAACGAGCGGGATTCAAGCTCGCATCTTCGGGTTTCTACTGGCTGCCGCTCTACCCATTGAGCTATCCAGTCATCGTGGATTGGTAGGAAGAAAATCGGCGGTCTAGATAGTTTACCCGAAAATGCGAGTTCGACTCCCACTCTCCCAATTGTCGTTGTCGATTTCATGCAATTACCTCGTACCCAGGAACTTACCCTGGGAACGAGGTTGGATTTCATGTTGTACTCTGCAGTCTTAGAATATTAATTACGAAACTAGTTTTCATACATCTGAAGATGGTTTTGAATTTTTCAGGTAGTTCGCAGTAATTTATTTTCTTGGGTTGTCTTACGACTTTTCGGAATACATCTTCCAGAATCCAAATCTTATTCGGTTCAATATCAGAATGTCATCGGCTCATTACTATTATCTTTTTCTAGGAATTGTTGTCATAGCGACTGTTGTCGCGTGGTTTCTGTCCCTCCTGACCGCTTTGCTGTCACTGGTAGATTTCGAGAATTATTCAGTGTTTCTCATTATAGTATTTTTCATACTGCCTGTTCTTTTCGATATATTGGCTTATGCTTTTCTCTGTCGCGCTTCGAAAGGACATAATAAAACCACATTACTTAAAAAGGTACGTATGCCAAATAACTCCATCCTATTACGAGACTGCCAATCTCGGGTCGAAATCCCATGCAGTCAATAAGTATTTTATTATACCACAAGTCAAATATAGTTAAACGCTCAAACTGTTGCCAGGAGACAGTCGGATTTCATAATTTTCACGTGATACGCTTTCACCTATTCTGTGCATTCACCCAGTGCGATGAAGAATACATGAACTAAGAAAATTGTTATCTAGTATTCTAGTAAGATAATAATAATATCTATCAGGTATTTGTCCAACGTCATAGGGAAAACTATGTACGAATACGGTAGTATCCATTCCAACGACCTGTGCCAGCGTATATAGTACCAAAAACACCAGAAAATTGAGATGGATTCGTTTTATTGTATTATTTCAGGTGTTTGAATTTCTGTCCATCTCAATTTTCTAAGGCAATATCACCCTTGCCACTTGCCAGTTACTGTTTACAATCCAACAGCTTTATGACCAGAAGAATCGACTGGACCAACGAGAAAGAGGGAAAAAGTTAGTTGCATATGTACTACAATGATCTATTTTTTTCAGGAACTTCGGTTGGCCAAATGGTTTGCAATCTTCGCCTTAATATTCAATGTTCTTTGGCTTCCTTTCGTGGTCACCATTCTCCTGCGCGATTACTGTGAAACATGTGAGACGGAACGAAGCTCTCTATACTTGTTTATACTGTATTTCCAGTTGCTCAGCCTGACTATATCTGCAGTGATTTACTATAAAGCCAGCCTGGATTTCCGTTTGGCTTTCAAGATGGTTGCTTTTGAATTTTGTAACATGATTGGCAGAAACGCGAACTCGGATCCTTCACCAGATGTCGCTATGCACGACGGTACAATACCACGTGTCTCCAATGATCACGTCAAATCAAACGCCCGTCAGAGTGAATCATCTTTTCGACATTCTCAAAGCGAGAATTCTCCTTCGAAAGCAGAACACGAAGAAATGCATATTGTGCCTTTTGATCAGGCAAAATATTTTGGCGAAAAAGACGAAAAGCAGGACAATTTTCACGCTGAAAATGAAGTTAATGGAGGAATGTCACTTGATGATGAGTTTGGATTCCATGACATTGACATTGTTCCTTACGATCAGTCTTGTTGAAGCATATTTTACAGTTTACACGTTCACGGCTATCAGTAGAAGCAATTCTGGGCTGTCAGATATACTACACACTGCACTAAAAATAAATAATAAACACTTTAAGATTGACGTTTACGACAAAGCGCTAACAAGTCTGTATGTTCTGCATTTGACCTCCAGTGTGCCTGGTTTTCCCAGTCGTTCGATCTGGGCCAAATAAATGTTTACATTCTTTTAATCTAAAAAATAATAACTCCCAAAATCACCAGAAAAAAAACATTTGGAGATATTTTCATACAATCTATACATATTACAATTATGCTGGTAACTGGTACGTTGCTATGGCAACTACATAAACAATTACCAACTGTACCAAGTTTCATTTAATTTCGTCCAATCACTTCTGAGATACTACCTATTTTTTCCTATTCTTGCTGCCATCTTAAGCACAAAAACGTACAAAACCCATCGTTTTTTGAGAAAAATTAGTGTCATTAGTGTGCAATTTAAACAGATTTATTAAAATACATTTCAATTTGGTTACAACATAAGATACTAACTAAAACAAAAACTGTGAACTTATAATTAGTAAAAGAGAATGTAGCATCAACAGTGGCAGACCCTTCGCGGAATATTGGGGGTGATTTTCAAATTTTCAATATGTATGTCAAAGGGGTGTCCGTTTCAAGGTTATAACTATCAATTCTGATTGTTTAAAATATTTTATCAGTATAAGACAGCCCAAAACAGATTGTAAAAAATGTGTATAATGCATTGTGGCATCATTGGCTACATTGTCCAGAAAGATATACTGCTTAATGATATTGCTAACTTTAGCTTAATTAAGTTTTATTTAATAATCGATATCATTATTTATTTAACTTACATTTGATTTAACTTACATATTTGAGTTAGAGTGAACTTGTCGTGCTGTTAGCGTTGTATGTGATATGACAAAGTAGGAAAACTTCAGTAGATGTGTCACTATATAAACGTAAGACTAAATTTGATCCAGGCACGAAGAACAAAATCCATAACCACAGCTAGAAAGAGCATCTTAAAATTTAATTAGTAAAATCGGAAACTAGTTTGGTTGCGAAATGTTGTAAAATAAGGAAAATATAGCCCTGTGAAGTCGCAAATTTTGTATAGATTTGTATTACACGCGGTAAAAATAACCACTTTCGGCTCAAAAATGGTTATTTTTCACGCGCGTAATACAAATCTTTATTATATAGTAGAGAGTGAGATACTGAAAAATACACAGTGAGATATTTTCCATATCTTCACTAGTGAAGATATCGATCACGTGACTTTTTCCAATTTGCTTTAGAGCGTGAAATTTCACAATTTTTTGCTTGGGACTATATAATAAACAGAACATTACACGGTGGCTTGAAGATGGCGGTGGCTTGATACACGGTGGCTTGACTTTTATCTTCTTGTGTTAAAAACAATATTTTACTCACTCGTTGCGCTCGTTCGTAAAACATTATTTTCACCACTCGAAGATCGATAAAAGTTATATCTTCGCGCCTCCGTGTGATATCCTCTGTATACAAAATTTGCGAACTTCACAGGGCTATATTTTCCTCATTTTACAACAGTGGCGGAGATCTTGGTGGGGCAGGGGGGGGGGGCGCCCCCCACCTTCCGGAAAATTGACGATTTTTCGGAAATTTTGATCTAAAAGAGGGCTAAAAACCTTTTTGATTGCAAAT